ATTCTGGAGATTTTCGGTGGTTTCTGGCTTCATTGGTCCTTTAAAGTGGTCGTTTGATCAGGAGAATTCCTGAAGAATCCCTGTTAGCTTAGCTGAGTCTCCAGAACGACCTTATCGAGCCAGTCATTTTCCAAACGATCTCTGCTTGCTTACCTTACCTAGCTAGTCGAGTTTCCCTAAGAGTCTTTGCTAGCTTGCCGTGCGTAACTTAACTTCCCCAAGGATCTATGTTAGTCCGCCACCTCCGCTGAAGCTAAGGGCCCATTTCCGCAAAGAATCTCTGCTAGCTGGCCCTGGTCTGCCGATAGGAGATGCTTGACCAAACTTCCACAGAAATCTCTGAGAAGTTGACGATAAATTTCGATGCCTGCCGTTTCCGCTAAAGATCTCTGCTAGCCTCAAAACACCCGGAAGTTGACACGCACCCTATCTCTCCTCTCTAAACTACAATATTTCCACCCATCCCCCTCTCCCGAGCCAAGAAGCAATTTGTTGGCATGGTGTCGTCACAGCTTCAAGAAATCCATCTATCAATGGAAAGGAAGAAGGGGAGGAAAGAGGGGAGAAGCTGACACACACGGGTCACCCAGGGAGAAGCGGAAGCCGCATGGAAGAAACAAACTTGTTAGATGGAATTCTAGACAAAAAGGGGAAAAGAAGAAGCAGACACAACCCGGGCGGGCTCTGAAAGTTTGTTAGCCCAAACTCGGAGGGTTAGGTCTCGGGGTCCCGCAACGAAAATCGGATTTTTTGGGGTTTTTGGGCTTGTGAAAAACAATGGATTAAGCAGAAGCCTACCGTCGGCCTGAGCCTACGCGAAACCAAACCAATTTGCGTATCAAAGATCCCTCACTGCAAAGTCCTATATCTGATGCCTTGCCGGTCCCTTTAAAAACGAGTAAAAAATCTCCTTTCTGGCCAGGGTGCCACGATGTGTCTCCCAAAGGGCCCCCTTTCTTTTCAATTCCCTCCATATTCCAGCAGTCCGCTACCCTTTAGTATATTGGTATGCACCCGCGCCTACTGGCCTAGACCTCGAGGGTTCGAACCCGGCGGTAATTTTGACTTTTGCTTTTTATCCTAATTATGTATTGCTGGGGGCTTTCCAGCTGTTCCGTTTTTCTTTAATTCTTGGCCAAGTGTAGGCTACGGTAAGCCTCCGTAACTGGTGGCATTTTCGGGAGCAAAAACGGGCCCAGGTGAAAGATTTTACGGGTTTTTGCGGCACCGGAAATGTCAGCATGGTTTTTGACATTTTTGCGAGGCATCTACGGTTCGTTTTTTCTGGTATAAATCGAGCAACAATTTAAAAACTGAGATATCGAAAAATTGCCATTTTGTAATTAGTTATAACTTTTAACATTTAATTAAATTTTTAAATGAATGATTTTTGCTTTTGTGGTTTTCTATCCGCACTCTTTTCTTACTACGTAAATTAAGCTAATTCTGGAAGCTCATAACAGAGCAGGCTGCAAATTAAAAAATCAGAAAGCTAACACTACGGAATTTTGGCTAAAATCGTTGAAATCTACGGTTTTAGCAGCCAATCAACTTTTTGACACGTGTGTCTATTACGGGGCCGAGTTTGTATATATAAATGTGAGTGGAGTGGAGGATGAGAAAGGAGAGAGAGAGAGAGAGGATGAGGAATCGATGTGGTCCAAACCCCTAGGGAGAGAGAGAGAGAGATAGCGAGAGAATCTCCTCCTCCTCGTCCTCCTGCTCCCCATCTGAGTCCAACTCCTCTGAGAGGGCCCTCTCCTATTCGTGTGGGCCCTTTCAAGGATTCTCCCCTCCTCTTCCCCATCCAAACCGCTTTCCCGGCTCAACTCGCCGCTTCGCATTTTGTCGCTGAACCCGGCGGGTTGGCCGTTTTCGGCTTCAACTTTTTGTGGCTTTTTCTGAGCTGAATACGCGCCCTTTTTACTAGCCGTCATTTCCAGATGGCAATAGAAAAAGGGAGCCAAAGCTACTTATTTGTTTTTGGATTTTTCACCGGCGTTTCCGGGCATACTAGGCACCGTTACGTCAACTTCTTCGTTACAAACGTCGTTTCCCGTTACAAAAATCATTAAGGAAAGATTTTCTGCCTTCCCAGTCCCTTTAAGATCGATTCTGTGCCTTCCTGGTCCCTTTAAAGCAATTTTCCAGCTTCCTAAACCTTTGAATCGATTACCGGTTTTTTTGTGAATGTTTAAAACAGATTTTCTACATTTCCAACCCCATTAATCATGTTTATCTGCCTTCTAAGCTCTTTTAAACTGTATTTTATGCTTTCAAAGTCATTTTAAAAATACTTGCTAACTTCCCAGCCCCTTGAAATAATATTTGCTGCCTGTCTAAGTAATTTTACAGCAATTTTTTGATCCGATAATTGCTTCGATTCTGGATTTTCTGACTTCAGGGCCCCTTTAAAGCCTTGTGCCTAGCTCCAGGTTCATTTAATGGGAATACTTCGCCTTCCAAGTCCCTTTAAAATGGAAACTTTTTCTGGAGCTGCGTTTTCCCCAGGCGCTCCACGTAAAAAAGTAAGAAGCAGCTGAAAATGCTCCCGTCCGGCCCCCCGCCACGCGCATTTGAATCAGCTCTCCGTCGGGAGGGCACAGGCCGGCCTGTCTCTCTCACTCTCTCTCGCTCTCTTTCTCTCTCTCGCTGCTCTCTCTCTCTCTCTCTCTCCCCATTGGCCCAAACAAAAACGATTTGTGGAAAACGAGGGGGGTTGCTCCTTTTCAGGCGGGGGCGTCCCCCGCCTGAAGGAATTGATTTCCTATTTTTAGGGTGCCAGCTAGAGGCACGGGGATACGGTAGTTTTTGGGTTTATCGTCCCTTTAAAGTCGGTTTTTATTGGCCCTTCCACAATGGTCTTCGCTCGGCTGCCATGGAGCTTAGGGATCTTCTGACTTTGAGGTGTCTGGTCCTTTTAAAAGTCAATAGAGCTTCCGGTTCCTAAAGGATCTCTGCTAGCCTACCTTCTACGCGATTGCATTTCCCAAATGGTCTCTGCTGGCGTGCCCTGTAGCCCCAATATGTTTTTTTCATGGCTTCACAGTCTCTTTAAAATGCCCATTGCCGCCCGAATTCCTAAGGAATCTCTTGCTGGCACTGCTCCCTAAGGGTTCTCTGCTAGCCTATCCCTCTGAATTCCCAAATAATCTCTGCTCGCCTGCCGCTGGGCATTGATCCGCCACCACCCCCTAATCTTGACGTCATTCCAAAAAGTGTTCTGCGTCTGCCTCTCTCTCTCTCTCTCTCTCTCTCTCTCTCTCTCTCTCTCAATTCCTTATCGTGAATTCCCCCTGGCTGCTCTATTTCTATGGGTTTCCCATCCAGGGGCACTCGTTCGAATTGGCTACTCAATTTCCGGCAGCGGCCCACCCGCCCCCGGCTTTTCCCCTCCTTCCTATACCTTTTCCATACCAAATAGGGTCCTCTGATCCATTCCGCAAATGGTCTCTGCTAGCCTGCCCTCCCGCCAGGGCCAAAGATCTCATTTTGATATGTCTTTTTCTTATGGTTGGTGTGGTGTCTCTCTCTCGGTCTGTTGGAACGGGGAGGGGGATTAGATTTCGGTCGACTGCCCACGGCCACACCCTAGGGGTGTATCAGCCCGAAAATGGATTCTGTTTGTTTGTCTGTTTCTCTTGATGTCTGCAATTTTTTAGGTTGTTAAAAAATTGCTGGAAAGTGTCGATTCATCGCTTGAACTCTTTCTATCTCTCTTCTCTTCCTCTTTGCCTCTCTCTCTTTCGCTGTCCTTCCTTCTCTAGCTGTCACCATCCCTTTAAATGACCGGCAAGTCAAGGCCATGGATTCCTTTTTTTCGGGCTTGCCTGACCACCTTGAAAACGTCGCAATCCGTTACGCAAATGGAAAAGCCTATGCAAGTGCTGTCTGTCGCGGCGCGGAAGAAACTGTTGGAATCCATAGGCGAAAATCCATATACGTCCCTCGCCGGTCCCTTTATAACCGAAGTTAATGAGCTGGGGGTGCTCACCCTCTCCTCTCTCTCTCTCTCTCTCTTGTGTCTCTCTCTCTCCCCCCTCCTCCCTGCGCCAACTTTTGAGATTTTTTAAAGGCCCAAAAGCTAAAAAAAAATTTCCGCCCTAATGGCCGGGTGGATAGGTCATCGGTTTTCATTTCAACCCCGGTGGGTTCGTCCCCTCGCCGCAACATTTCTTTTGCTCTTTGAAACCGGAAAGGTATCCGGCCCCTTTAAACCCATTCTTATAGATTCCCACTTACGCCATGCGTCCATAATATTCTGTCCTCCGGTGGGTCCTACTCTCTCTCTCTCTCCTCCTCCCCCTTTTTCTCCCCTCCATCCATTGGATCGATGGGTTGAGGCCCAACCGCGGCCACCCCTGGTGGGCCTCTCTCTCACTCACTCTCGCTCTCTCTCTCTCTCTTTCTCTCTCTCGTTCTCCCGTTAGAAAAGAAAGGAAGAAATGTGGGTCTCCCTCCCCTGAAATGGAAGCAAAAGGCCCGCGGGGAGATCGAGCAGCAGCCCCATCTCTATCCTCCCAACACCCATTTCCGACGCTCCAAACTTTTCCTTGCAAGAATATTTTCAGTTTTTACCCAAGTTTTGGTTCAATTCCGCCCGAATCTCGGCCAGCTTGCCACTGATTTGAATTTTGATCTTGAGAAAGAGGCACCACCCCTTTAAATTTCCTAAAAGACCTCCTCCAGCTTTCCCTGACTTCGACTAGAGCTGAAACTCCGCAAAAACCCTGCTAGCCTGCCCAAGGTTAACCGATGTTTCTGGATAGCTTCACAAACCCTTTAAAGCTCCAAAATAGTCCCGGCCTGTTTGCGCCACTCCCGCGCCTTTCTACTCCCTTTCTCTCGTTGCCGTGGATCCGGTTTTCGTATATTGATTCCCGGAGGCAATCACATGCCCCAGGCTTTCGAACGCATTATTCATTATCGTTGTACATCTGCTTTTGATACGGATTATTTGGGTGTCATTTCAGGAAACTGGACTCAAAACATCAGTCCGGATGTCTTCAATACACTACAAATTTCGTGCGAGTGTCGAATCGAAAACGGTGAGCTCATCTTCCGCTTTCACTTCAATTTGATTTTAGGTTCGATTTGAGGGTCTCCATATCCTTTGCTCGGACCTGAAACGCGAAATCTATACCAATGAGAACATCAAATCCGAGTCGTTCGATTTGGTGCTGGCGGTTCGTTGTTCTGGCTTTAATCGAAGATTATTTTTATAGAATGCTCAGACAAAGCGCAGCTACCTCAGCGAGGAGATGATACCCAGAAATGCGACCATTATAGTCCAACGGGTCCCGAAAGATGGTGCTGAAAAGGCGCCTAAAATTCCGTAAGTTTTTGGCTGGGGGCTTTTATTATAATGTTCGCTTGTTGCGGCCATGAATATTGTTTTTAGGAAAGGGAATGGTGGATTGATTTTGAAGTCGTCTACTTCGGACAGCTATGTTCCCGCAGAAATGCCAAGCATCGATCCGGTAGGCAACTTTATATTCTTGCTGTTAACTTTTTGTTTAGGCGCTTTTGGAAAAGATGACTGAAGAGGAGCGCCAGGCTTGTCTGATGGATCTGTCGACTAAGAAATATCATTCATCCAAGTGAGTATGCTTCTTCGTCCCCAAGGCTGCAACGTCTTACTTTCTAAAATGCGGCGCGAATCATTTTTTATATAACTACTTCAACAAATTATCGCTTTCCCATTGATTATATTAATTTCAGTTTCCAACGACGCACAAAGAACAACATCATGTCGGGCCCTCCACCGCCAACATACGTCTGTAATCGCTGCAACCAGACCGGTCATTGGTATCAGAACTGCCCGATGGTTTGTCTTCACAATAAATTGGTGGCCCTGGCGCTTCGTGGAAGCCGACGGTCTCAACCAAAATTTCCATTGCCCTGTCTTCTACGAGTTTCGCCGCTGGCGTAACCTGGCTTTCTTTGTTTCTTTGCGTTTTTGGAGTCGAGTACAACCCACTTCCAAAATATCTTTGTCGTCATTTGACCGGTTTGCAATCCGGGTACCCTCAAACTGGTCCCCAAACTTGATCTCTACCTCTTTCTTTGTGCAATGTGTAGTCACTGGTTGTTTGTATAAAGTTTTATTTGGTTGCTACCCACCGTGTTCCCAATAAAAAAAACTGAGACCGTCCCCATTTTCTTTTGAGTCAGACTTAAAACGATGTATAGGTAAGGCAATTTGTATGAACTACAGACACCTGGGTGCCGTTTCTAATAGCAGGCTGCCCCGTAGGATGATTATTTATAGGCGAACACGAAGAAGGCGACGGGGATGACGATGGATGAGCTGATAGTGACCACGGCGGATGATCCGCATGCCCTGCTCCATTCTTCGGGCAGATATGTCGTGCCTCGTCTTCACTATATCGCCCGAAACCGCAGAACGGTGTGCTTTTCGTTTATTAGAAGGAGCTGATATATTCTAGAACTATTTTATTACCTGAAAAATTATTATATTCTCGTAATGTTTGATAAATTTTGTTTAGAACGCTGGTCCTGGTTCCGAATCGCCGGCTGATCGAGTGGTGCCATCGCGCTTGACATGTCCACTATGCAGCGAGCTGTTGAGGGATGCGATGATCACGACATGTTGTGGCGTCACTTTTTGTGCCGAGTGCATCTCGGAGAATTTGCTGTCGGATGAGGAGCGCAAATGCCCAAAATGTGCACGCACTGGGGTATGTGAAATGGTACATACGAAAGATTTTTGAGGATTGCATCTGGCAGAATTTCAATCTACCGAAAAATTAACAAGGGAAACTCGGGGAATTGTTTCGCCGAGTTTCAAATTCAATTAGATGATAATTCGGTAAAACAAAATTAGCCCAGATGGCCCCAAATTCGCTAAAATCTTTTAAGTTTGCGATATTTATTTCATTTGCTCTTTCAGCTATCCCTCGACGACAACATCATCCCGAATGGCGCAATCCGCGAAGCCGTACAAGACTGGATCGGTTCAGCCAATCGTCGCGCCGGCTCAGCCAACGCGTCCCCAAATATAGACGATCATTTGCCGACGGTCAGCAAAGTTCGCATTGGGCTCGGCCCCAGTGCCCCAGTCGTCCGGGAGGTACCCACTTTTCGAAAAACCTAGAATGACTCTTTTTGTAGGCGATCAAAGATGCTCACCAACTCGAGCCGTCTGAGATGATGCCGCCCGGCGTTACAAAGACTGAGCCGGTAGCGATACCAGCGCCACAAATCGACCTCAGCCGACCTCCGCCTCAATTTGCCGCTGCTCAACCAGCCTATACACAGGTTGGAAACTAGTGTGTTGTCGCAACTCCGTTTCAGCCCATGGTCCCGCAGGCATCACTTGGAATCCAACCATCGGCTGCACTCCTTCCCCCTGGTGTTGAAGCGCCAAGACCTGGATACCCGGCGATCGGAAATACAATGGCTACTTCAGAGGTTGTTTCTTATCATGGCTTGTATATACAAGCTTGTATGTTAGAATCTGGTCCCTCCCGGAATGGTACTTCCACCAATGAATGTCCCACCGCCGACGCTCCCCGCGGCTTCCCTCTCCAACATGATGCACCGACAGGTGTTGTCGACGAACGCGCCGTTTTATGGAATGTGAGTGCCTGAATTTAACTGATTATTTGTTGTAGGAATCTCCAATCTGCGGGTTCTTCTGTGCCGGTAGGCCCGGTGCCCATCGCCCTCAAGAATGACCTGGAAAAATGGGAAGATTATTTGGCGCAAAAGGACTCGCGACGAAGGAGAAATGATTATCACGATTATCGCCGAAGAGAGCGCAAAAGGTTCGTATTGGCTTTTGGAAGACTTGTTCGAGATTTTGCTGAATATTATGATTTCAGATCGCGCTCCTATTCAAGTTCTTCTTCCGAAAGCGATGATGATCGTAGACGTCGGACAGATAAATACCCTAAGCGTCGCCGTGACGATGATTATGGACGGGAAAGGGATAGAAGGCGAAGCCCTCGAGCCTCCGATCGATATCGACACGCGGCCGAGTCGTCACATCGCTCGACACGAGATGAGCCAAAGAGAAAAGATGAACGTCGGCCTCGTAAGGCGGAGAGGTATGTCTTTGAGTATATTTATATGTATTTTGGTTCTCAGGATTGATGAGAAAGATGGCAAACCGCGAGAAGAAAAAGAGAGACGCAAGAAGGAGAAGCGCGATGGCAGGGAGCAAGAGGAGAAGATGGAAGTTGCCACCCGTGAAGATGTTCATTCGCCACGAGAGGTTAGACGGTTGAGGGCAATGAAACTGGTACTTTAGGATACGGTGGCCGAAGAAGCCGAGATCGGCTCGGAGGATGCACCAAATAGTGCTGAGATTCCTGAAGAGATGAAATCGGAAGTGGAACGAACTGGGCATACACCGAAAAAGGAGCTTGAGGTATGATTGCTGTGGACTACTTTATTGATATTTTGCTTAGCCCGAGCATGACTCGCCGACGGTCGATGAATATATGATGATTGATGACCGTATCGGGAATGAGGCATCTGACGAAGAAAAAGTGCAGAATGACGATGAGGATAAGGAAGATGAAGGCGAAGGTCGGAAGAAGAAAAAGGAGAAAAAGTCCAAGAAGAAGAAGCATAAGAAGGAAAAGAAGCAGAAAAAGGACAAGTAAGCTTTATGTCGAGAAATTAAACCTCCCATTAGGTATCGCGAGGACGATTCTGACGGCGAAAGGTCGTCGAAAAAGAAGAAGGACAAACGGCGTGACGGCCATGACTCCGCGGAAGAACGGTCGTACAAGAAAAAGGAAAGAGATCCTAGCCCAGCGAAAGAACGACGTCGTTCGACCGAAAAGGAAGAGACGACGGGAAAGAGGTCAGTCTTTCGATACAAAAATTTGATATAGATTTTTAGAAACAGAGATCGGTCTCCAGCAGCATCCAAGCCTACCGATGCTTCCCGGGTGCGAGATCAAGCCAGGGACAAAAACGAAGGACGCGAGAGCCATCGAGAGAAAGGGCAGGATGAGCGACGGCGAGAAGAAGAGCGACAACGCCCCAAGGATCCACCAAAAGAGGAAAGCCGCTCTCTAAATGAAAAAGAGACGGGTCGCGAAAAGAGCACCAACGATTCGCGAAGCCGAGATTCGCGAAAAGTGGTGGATCGCAGCCAGCGGAAGGAAGACAGTCCTAGAGGCAAGGAAGAGAGGCGGCGGACTGGAGACTCGAAGCCCGATGAAAGGCCCAACAAAGAATCGGTATGGAAAGATATAAAGAAGGTTACCTCTGGAGAACACGACCGGAAAACGCCTCCGAAGAGCCACAGTAGTCTTCCGAATTCTCGCACGGTATTTTTTTTGTCCACAATTGTGAAAACTTTTTCTATAGGTCAAAAACGAGATGGATTTGGCATCGCAACGGCTGCAGAATGAGCTGCTACGCCGCAAGAGGAATGAAAGCGACACGAGAAATGACGGTGCATCAGGTAATTTTTTTCGAAGACGGCAAATGACTATTTGATTAGGGCAACGCGGCGCGGATCCTTCCATCAGAAGTCACCAGGAACTGCGGGCCGAAAAGGCAATGAAATCGTCAAGGACTGTTTCAGAGGACACCGAGCCGAAGGCTGATGTAAGTGCTTTACTTATTCGTCTCGACACACGAATACAATGCCATCTAAAAACTTGGTTACAGGTTTTCGACACGTCTCAAAGCGGCAACAAGCCGACAGGAATGCGCATCCAGATCACCTTCGATATGGACAAGGATAAAAAACGAAAACATTAATTGGTTGCTCTGTCTCTCAACCTCGTATGTGATTATTCACCATTGTATCACTGGCCATGGACGGTGTTTGTGTGTACGGGTACTTGAATTGCAAGTCACGATAAACTGGTATATGAACCATCTTTCGTCGATATACCCTCGTTCTGCCGCTCTGCGACCTCAACGGGCGCTACAGGGTCGCACCGGTGTTTTATTTTATATGTGTGTTGTTTTAATAAAATCATTATTTTATGTCTTGTTTGTATGCGAGTAGCCACACATCCGATTATCGTTCAACGTGAGTTAGTTGCCGCTTAGCATTGAGGGATGGGTAATTAGCGGACATCCAAAAAAAATGGTTTTGTTTCCAATACAAAAGAAAATTGCCATGAAAGAAACGTTGCGGCGCGGCACCGTCTGCTTCCACTTGACAATATCTGTAAACTGTTGTTCCGTGGAATTGATTTTGATTTTTCGGAATTTATTTCTCTTTTTTCAGCTTTTTCAGACGTCAAAAAAGCTCCTAAATTTCTTTTCCTCTTGCTGTGTATCATTTTCGCTTTCCCGGTAACCAGTTTTTTTTAGACTTGAAAAGCTTATGGACGTCCATTTTTCGGCCGATGAGCCGCCTGGGTGCACCGTAAAGGTTCGAAAAGTCACCGAGGGGAGCTATGTTTTATCGCAAAAGGTATATTAGTCTTTTGTCTTAAATTTCTTGTAGCCAATTATCGAATTCAACCGGCCGGATGGTTCTCTTGGCCAAGTCCTTGCAACCTCAGAAGGCGTCGTTCAGTTTTCGGTGCGTTTCTGATCAAAACCACTATTGGAATTCAGGCAGCGATCCACAAAGGAAAAGAATTAACCCATGGTGATGTGGTCGCCAAGTTGACGCCCTGTGCTCATCATATCGTCATCAAGGAACTGTGCGCAACGTGTGGTGCTGATTTGAAACTGTTGGTTTTTCCATTTTTTTCACGAGTTTACTGACTGATTTTAGTGATCAGGCAGAGGAGACCACTCAGGCACCTGGGTCGGGAAAAGCCAACGCATCCGTGTCGATGATCCATCACGTCCCCGAGTTGCGTATCACAAACGAACTGGCGATGGAGATTTGCACGCAAGACCGCGAACACATGATCAAAGCCCGGAAGCTGATTTTGCTCGTCGACCTCGACCAGACAATCATCCACACCACCAATCGGCCACATGGGGCTGACATCGAATCGGTTGGCTGGTGCACGCTTTTTGACGATTCTTTAGAATCCCGAGATCGTCAGCTTCAGACTATATGGTGGTGTGCATTATACGAAATTGAGGCCCTACACTCGGGACTTTCTCGAGAATATCAGCCGCCTATACGAAATGCACATTGTTACATATGGCCAACGCGAATATGCCCATAAGATTGCAAACGTAAGTGGCTTAGCTTTATGTACATCTAAATCTACATTTAGATCATCGACCCGGACGAGCGGTACTTCGGCCAGCGGATCCTTTCGCGTGATGAGCTCCGCAGTGCGCAATTCAAATCCGTCAATCTCGAGGTGCGTGCCATCTATCTGGTTAGCTTAATCTTTTCAGGCCCTGTTCCCTCGTGGCGACCTACGCTCTATGATCGCCATTATAGACGATAGAGCTGATGTTTGGCGCTATTCGGAAGCCCTAATCCAGGTTTTCCTTTCAATTTTGTGCTAAACATACTTTAGGTAAAACCTTATCGTTTCTTCAAGGAAGTTGGCGACATCAATGCCCCAGCTAGCGGCGAAGAGCCGGTTGCGGCACTGGCCGGTAATTCTTTTCGTGATCTGTGTATTTAAATTGCGTGTCTTTTAGTCAATGACGATGATCACATTTTGGAACACACCGAACGTGCGCTTACACAGATCCACCAAGCCTTCTACCGGAATTACGACGAGAAGGGCGGCGAGATAAAGGATTTGAAGGTAATTAGTTTATCGTTAGAATAATGGGATTGTCAGGTGATCATCAAGTATTTGAAGTCACAGGTGCTGCGTAATTTGACAATCTGCTTATCCGGTAAAACGCTTGAGTTTGTCGAACTTGCTCTTTAGGCGTCATTCCTACCCAGTATAAGGAGCAGAAACGAGAGCATGAGAGTCAAGTTTACCGCCTCTGCGACCAATTCGGAGCCAAGCTCGTCGACGAGGTCACACCCGAAATCACCCATCTTGTGGCAGTTCAATGGGGCACGAAGTCGGTTGCTAGTTTACTAAGTCAAACAATGTTTAGGAAAGTCCATGAAGCGCGAAAGCTGAAAAAACCGATTGTCACCCCGGGTTGGATCTATGCATGTGTTGAAATGTGGCTAAAGGTGGACTGAACGCTTTATTTTTGTAAAGGATGTTTAGGTTGACGAGAAAGAGTTTGAACTGACCGCCGAGAATTCACCCAAGTCGAGTGGGGAGGCGATCGGCCGCGCCGTGCTCGGCGTCGGCGTAAATGATTTGGCGCCCATCGGCAAAGAGGATGTGAAGAACATGTATGATGAGGTAAGGCATCACTATTGGATCAGATGAGTTCTTTAGGTAGATGAGCTGTGTGGTGATGACGGCGATAGTGACGATAGCGATGGCAAAGAAGACTCGAACGACGGACAGACCGAGCCGATTCCCACGGTTTCAAAGCCTGTGGAAGTCCCTCCCCAGGCCAAGGTGACGCGCAAGCGTACTAGGCAACTGCTTTTCCGCGATGAAATTTACGTAATTTAGGGAAGAAATGGACCGCGGGTGGGGCGAGCGTGACGGGGCCTACGAAGAAGACGATTTGGACGAACAGGCAAAGCAGCTGCGGGAACAGGAAGGCGAAGAGCTTGATGAAGACGATAAGTACGTTTTTGACGTTTTCTTAGAAAGCGTTGCAATGAAATAATCATTTTTGTCTTGTCTAATAATATCCTTGCAGCGAAGGGATCGACTACGACGACGTTGAACGTTTCATTCATCGGCACGATGACGTGAGTCCTTATTTATCTTCTTCGATTAATCTGTTTGTATTAGGATAACGACGAAGATGACAGCGACCTCGACGACATGGTCGATGAACTGGAGCATCAGCTAAACCAATAGTCACGCATCAAAAAGCCTGCCTTAATGCTGCTATGATTTGTTATGGTTCGGGTTCATTATTTATCGGTTTACAGATCTCTAAATTACTTGATTAAATTTGTCTCTGTCACCGGTCCCTAAAAAGTTCCTGTTTTTCTAGTGTTAGTGCTATGAATAAAATTCTTGTAAATGTCTGGTGGTGCTTGGACTTTACAACCGTTATATGATATGCGGATCGTTTACATGTATACATTATCGAGCAATAGGTTGTTTTTTATGTGACTGGAAATGTGAAGGATTGTTTACTTCTGAAGCAGCGCTCGGCTGGCGACCGCTGTGCTTTCGAAAGCATGCGTTGCGGTTTTGATCTGGCACGGGTGATGAATGCCATGAATGTTGACATTGTCAGCTGTGCTTCTGCTAGACCTTGCCAAGTGTCAGTATTCGCAGCAATGGCGTTAATTTTCATTAGCCCTCCGTTTATTAAATTTCGAATGAATTACTGATAACTAACTACATAGTTATAGAGTAATAACTCAAAAATATGGAGGCTATTCTGACGATAACTGGTAATTCACTAGAGATTACGATTTGATATGGTTAAGTAATTGGGAATCCATTTAATCCGCTCGTAGGGTTGGGCGGGGTCTAAAACGCCCTATCACTCCCGCTGACCCGTGTATTTCGTGGCAAAAGGCTCTGTTTATGAGGCGTGTTAGGAAGACAAAGGTCTCTCTCGGGTTTGCCACTATCAACACTGACCTCCCCCATCGACAGCTAAATATTTTCTTCTGTGGCTTCCAGCCAACCTACGCATATGGCTTCCCGTGATTATCACACTTTTCCCGGCGATGACATATCGAACCAAGGCGGGCTTGTTTTTAGGTGTTTTTCGCTTTTTTTCTTGCCGTTATTTCCACCAGAAAGCTATCACCTTTATAAATACTCACCAAGTTTTTAGGATGGATTTCGCTGCCGATCCCTCGCAACAACTCGTGCAACAGATCCAGCAAAACATCAGGCAGATCAATGAACAAGGTAAGACTTCCTGCTTCGAAAATAACATTCCTTATTTTAGTGAATATTCTCGACGGATGGATCCCCCGTCTGAGCGCTCGTGCGGGTGAAGGTGAACATCAACGTCAGGTGTTTGGAGAGGTATGTTTCGGTTCCAGGATTGATTGATTCTTTAGAAAAATCATAGCCTACAAGCCCTCTGCAAGGAGACGAACAAATTGATGAAGCAGCTGGTCGACAAAAGCCATAATGATGTAAGTTTTTGAATCCAAAACTTTGATAGAAAACACCTTTAGCGAACCTTACGAGTGCATCGCGAACGACTATCTGACGACTATACGAGTGTGTTGAGCCGTTTTCAAGAAACGCAACGTCGCGCGGCCGCTAAAGAGAAGGATGACGTCAAGAATGTAGCAAATATTTTCGATCGACATTATGTCCTACGGATCTAGATTCGCGAAATGACAATCAACGAACAAGACGAGCAGAATTATCAGAGGGATGTCGTCGATTCACAGCGACAGCAACATGTATGCATACTAGCCTCAGCGCCATTGTCTTTTAGATGCAACGAAACCAACAGGTTAATATTCAAGAGATCAAGGATCGTCAGGAGGCCATAGCTCAATTGGAGCAAGATATCAACGATGTGAATTCGGTATAACGCATCTTTTTGAGCAATTCAACAAATAATAATAGATTTTCTCGAACTTGGCCCGGATCGTTCATGAGCAGGGAACAATGGTTGATAGCATCGAGGACAGCGTCGATCATGCTCAAATTTATGTCGAACAGGTGATTTACTTTTTATAGAATTTTGGTTTATGACGTGTCTACGTATAATCTGTATGATAACGTTATTTTAGGGAAATCGCGACGTACAACAAGCTGTTTACTACAACGAGAAGGCCCGTAAAAAGAAGATGATGCTTTGCTGTTTCCTTTTTATTCTCGCTTTTATCCTTGGACTCACCCTATATTTTGGTATCAAGCGCTAATTACATTTACCGCCTGCCACGGTCTTAAAACATTTTTAACGATTACTTTACCCACATCATACGGTTCAATCTGTGATTTATACGCCTGTAAACTAGTGCTCTTCTTTCTTCGCCCGATGATCTTTGAATTTGAAATCCGGAACGCGTGCTATGGTTTGGTGATTCTGCTACCTGAGAATCCTGTGAATTCTGCGTGATACTTGCAAGTGTATGCCAAAGGTTATTAGTTGTATCCTTTCTGCGTCAAATAAATCTATACAATTTGTCCGCTCTGCGTACTGGAACTGTACTTTCACAATGAATATTCTAACGCTACGATAAGAGACGTTCACTAGGCACTAATATTGTTAGGTTTTTGGATGTCCTTGATAGACACCGGGCCCTCAATACATTCACCAGTGAATCATAGCAATATGGAGTCTGGATCGGCCTTCGGAAGCGCTGCCATCGATATAGAAAAGGTTCAATTCATTCATTAGGCTTTATCCCGATTTTAGTTGGAGAAAGAGATAGCAGAGCAAGAAACGGCACGGCGCGACCGGCAACTTTTCGGTTTGTATTTTTCTATATATTTACATTGGTTCTCACTTTGCATTTTTATGCCAAAACAACTTTTGCGAACAAGAAAGCCATTCGTAAAAATGACGGCCGTTGTTCAGCCCACTACAAATAAGACTGCTACTGTTTCAGGCGACATTGGAACGAGCGGGGCCCAGTCCTCTCAGGTAAGGTTTCCGTTCAGTGCGGCAACGCTCTTTCAGACTACTTCGGGAAGTGCGCGTCGAGGCTTACAGGAGGTTTCACTCGATGCCGCCGACAATTTGGATACTCTGGAAGAGCCCGTTTGGACGACGATCGTAATTACAGCTGCTCTGCTTCACCACGACTTTCTTTAGAAGCGTGAGCTCGGTGCAATGGCCGCGAAGTTCGGCCAAGTTTTGCTGCCACGCGTCGAGAACCGTGAGAAGCTACTTCGCGACTGGGATCTTTGGGGACCGCTTTTCATTTGCGTGACCCTGTCGCTGTAAGTGATATTATCTTTTCGACTGATATTTCTTTTAGTCTGCTCTACTACCGAAGCCAAAGCCTGGCTGCGCCGGCTTTTACCCAAGTCTTCTCCCTCTCGTTCTTCGGCTCGGTGGTGCTGACCACAAACATTAAGCTGTTGGGAGGAACGATGTAAGTTTTGTTCATTCGTGAATAGTTTACTTGTCTGTTTTACGTAGGATTATCTATGCTACATTTTTAGTTCATTTTGCCAATCGCTCTGCGTGATCGGCTACTGTCTTCTTCCTCCGACCGCCTCAGCTGCCATCTGTACGACCGTGCTCCACGACGTAAATTTGATCCAAATATCAATGTAACGGTTTTTATAGAGATTGTTCGTGCTGAGGCTGGTCGTCACCGGGATTGGCTTCTGCTGGGCCACTTACGGTTTGCAAAGCATTTCCGTTTTTAGATAATTTCATTTAGCCGCACTCGGCTTCCTGGCGTCGACAGTGGCTGAGAAGCGTCGCCTTCTCGTCATTTACCCGATCTTCCTCTTTTACTTCGTCGTCAGCTGGCTCATCATTTCGCATGCATAAACCGAGCATGCGCCGCCACCTAGTCCTTCCCCCTGTGCGCTATTTATTCATCGGTGTGCCATTTGACTCCATAAAACGCTTTCATTGAAATGTCAACTGATCCGTTTCTCTTTAACCTGACTCCCCGGCATCACATCGGGTTCCCTCGCGTATCTGTGATAGGTGTCAATGTGTTACCCAGCCCCCAAATTGTCACTTATATGTTTCATTCGTCGTAGCATAATACTGATCAATCCATGAAATAGTTTATCGAGTACCCGCGTCGATAAGTTATAGCCCCTCATGTTATGTGATAAAGTCAATAGCGATACTAGCGCTTTGTCCCAAGAAGTATCCGCAACGCCCAATCTGTTGCAATCGATGCCACCGATTCCATTGGACGGTTCGCGTCCCTTACCTGAAATTTTGGCATTTTCTGTTTTTATCGTTTTTCTCACCTTTGGGATGACATTTAGGATAAACTGTTCCACGGGCCCAATTTGAGAAGCGGCCCCTCTGAAGTTTCTGTTCTCCTTGCCAGGTACCCAAGTTGGTACACTAGGCGGCGGTTTCGGGATCGGCGCTCCAGAATCTAAATCGAGTAGGGGCTATAATTCTTTCTCTTTGAGTTTCACACCAATTATATAGCGAACGCTGAATTTCGTCTCGTAGTCGAGTATGGTAGAGTCGTGTAGAAGCAGCATCTCTGACTGTTCCGACGTCATCTCCACCTGGCCGTCTTCACAACTAGCAACACCTGATAAGCACCTGGCCTCGAAACTTACCATTTTCTGAAGCCTGTTTGTTGGAAGTCGGAATTGGATTTTATCTCGATGAAGGCCTGAAAATGGTATTCAGGGTTATGGCGCCACGGTTCTTCTCACCTTGCACACTTCTTCGCATCGATATTCGACCTTTGAAATGATATATCGTATCCGTGCATTCGGCGTCTAAAACAGGCCCTTCCAAGTTCTTTTCAATTTTGCTCAAACCCGGATGCGCCAATAGCATTGGCCCTTTCCGCGGAACGAGAGCTCCTGCCACGCATTTGTCGCCAATAGTTCACCGCCACACTCTCTCGAGCCTATTGCAGCGTAGGATATCGATAATTTTTGATGAATACTAACTTTCCTGCACTTTCTCACATCGATTGCCTCCAAGCCCGGGCGGACACTTGCATCTAACGGTACTTTTGCACGAAAACAATGGCCTATTCACCTCTGGCAATTGTTCGGATCCATATAGCCGCCATGTTCACATCCAATATCACGGGAACAAACATCTAAAAATAGCAAAGAATAGAAACTAGAAAAGATACTAACCATTGCAATATAGCCGATTCACTTGTTTCACGTCGATAAAAGAGGGCCCTTTGCGCTGACCGATAGTTCTGAAAAATGGAATAGACCTTCCGAGTGAAGATCCGACAGCCTACCGTTGAAATTGCTTGTTTTTCGTGACGAGCGTATGTCGATCCCAATCTGTTGTGAAAGCCTATAAATAAATATCCTTTAGTTTGGGCCAAATTGAGTTACCGTTGGCCCATAGTGCATCACTGATCCCAGATCGTATGGCAATCCCATGTCTTCGATCTCGTCCCGCGTCCGCTTTGCAAAATTGCCCTCCGTGCCATGGATGACAACACCGCGGCTAAATTATTGGCTAACAAAAAAAACCACCTAATACCCACTCAAAGAAGATGTACTCGTCGCGATCGGGTCGACTCTGCTCGTGCCAAAAGCCTAACGAATGCCCCACCTCGTGGGTGACGATGCCAGGCTGAAAATGTTTTTTTAACTTCACTGGAAAAAATAAAAAGCCTAGGAAACATTCTTAATTAATTTTCGTTGAAATTCGTCCATTTTTGGTCGAAAACCGATATATATCGTATTTTTAAACCAAAGTTTGCAAAGTTTTTTTTGCTTATGTATTTAAAAACCATTTAGAAAAATTAATAATATATTAGGAACCAAAAATAGCTTTCAAGACTCACATCATCACATCCGTAGCCAATCGACACGGCTTGTCCCGCCACCCACTCGACCCACCGACGAGTAGCACCTATTTTTATTTATTTTTGAACCATAAAATCCATCCCAACCCGCTGCCTCTAATAAAAACAAGATGATCGCGGGCCGATGGGTCTTCGCGCCAGCGCACACAAGTTTCTCGCTGCCAAATTCCGAGTCCCTTTCGGATTAGCGCTTTCCACTCGTCTAAATCACAAATATGGCTTCACTTCAATAAAAGTATTTAATTACCGTTGCCGCCCTTAAATCGATAAGGTATCGGCTGCCCTTTGGGCCATCGATACACGCCGCCAGTGATCACTTTGCGTTTCGTCCGTCGTCGACCCGGTTGGTTAGATTCGGCCGAGGCCAGGATGACCCTAAAAAGCAAATGGAATTGAAAATTGAAGTCCAAAACATTACGCCAAAAAGATTTTCAGATATAAATGGAAGTGATGTTTCTAAGCTGCTTTATACTGTTCATACACGTAAACGCTGTAAAAGTTCAATTTTTTTGACCCAAAAATAATAGAATTTCGACGTTTATTGGTTCTTTCTCTATTTGAAATATGATTTAATTGTACTAAAAACGCAATTAAAATATAGCAAAGAATACCCCCTCCGATAATGCGAAAGAACCCGTAAACAATGAAAGTTAAAAAGTTAAAAGTTACCCCTTCATCTGCTCGATGGTGAGTACCATATCCGATTCGAAGAGCTGATTGGATAGTGGCCGATTTACACCCATCTCCGTCCCATCATTCATCGGTGCCGCGTGAATCGTCTAAGGAAGCCGAGCATAATTTTGGCTTTCGTAAAAACATACAGCCGCCTCCCGCTCACTCATATCTGCCATGGCGCCAAAGAAAGAATGCATCAGTCGTCGCATGCCATCTCCTTCGTTTTGTTGAACTGGGCTATACTCGGATACCTCTTTTAGAAGCTGAAAAGCCACGGGGTTAACGTTGAATTGAAAAACTTAGTGAATCAACCTTTAGCACCCGGTTCGGCTCGGCGAACGCCTTGACGCGGTCGGCCAGGATGTTGTTGTTCTAAAGTGTTATAATATCGGGATTTTTAATCAGTTAGGGGGATGAAATGCACGCATTACGAAGCTTTTTACGCCGTTTTTAGAAAAAAAAAGTTACAAAAAAAAATTTCGTTTTCGAAATCTTTAAATTTTTGGCTACAAGATTACAAAAATGGCACAACTTTCGAAATATCGTTTGACTTCATAAATCTCGTTAGAGCTTTTTAGTAATAAAAAACCGCTAAAACCTATAAAAATACTTACAAAACGCCCAAATTTTCGGAAATATGAGTCCAGATGTCCAGATCCCCTCCCCCCGCTAAGAAGTCAGTACTTGAGATTGAGATCTACATACCTCTACCGGCGGTGCAAACGTGAAATCGCCGGGCAATGAAAGTGGCTTGAATGTGGGTAGGGTGAATGGTGGAAACAGCGTGACCGCACTGCTAGCAGTCGTCGTTGCCGGGGAATTCTGACGGTGACGTGGTGGTTGTCGTATCAGGGGCCTAAATAGAAGTTGAGCATCGAATTTCCCGATTCGATCTACCTGGCCCGGGTTGCGGCTTCTCTCATGATATTCGCTAAAACGGGAGGGACTATCAATTCCAAAGCCTTTTTTTATTCTCAAAGCATAGCCGGCGGAAGCGGAAAAAGGGAGGGGGATGTACTCGTAGATTGAGGGGAGGATTTTGAAGCACAAATGGGCAAATAGCAAGGAGAAAGGACGCTTATTGAGAAGAAAAAAATCCCTAGAGGTCACGGTTCTTCTCTTTTAACGGGGGGGGGCAATTTCCCTATTACGAAATTTAAGCTATTTTTATAACAATTTCACCGGTTTAGAGGTAAAAAACTCACAAAAGAATTATAAAAATTTTCGAAAATCTAACTTTTTGGTAAAACAAATTTATCGAAAATAAGTAAGCAGGGTAAAAATTCTCGAATTTTCTCTTCAAAATTAGTTAAATATTTTTTCTAACTTTCTAGAAATCCAATACGACTAAAGACGCTATTTTTAGCATTTTCTACCGTTTTTAGAGATAAAAAGCCCATAAAAATTCTAAAAATCTTCGAAAATCAAACCTGTTATAAAAAAAATGCATGAAAATGACGAAAAAGTCCAATTCTTCAATCTTAAATTCTTCAGAACATTTTTTTAACATTTCAACCCCCCCGTTAAACGGGAAGAACCGAAGTCATATATCAGGTTGGATAATAAGTTCTGTCACAATTTTTTGAAATCGCTCGTTAAAATCGCAGATGTTTCCAATTCTTAAGTATGAGGTATGGATTGATAGGTCTCACAACACTCTATTTTGGGAGAACCCTCAGTTGACGCAAAAATTGAGGGACGTCGAGATACAGGCCCGAGAAGGTTTTCGCAAAATTACGCAAAAGCGTGTTAGCGAGTTATCTCTGCATACAGCGATTTGCATGTAATCCGGCTAACACCATTCGATAGCTCTCGAGGAGTAGATATTGATAGATGTTGAGATCATCCAAATTGGACATCGGATGGCCGAGATACGACCCCTTGAAATTTGGCCCATTTCTTAAAACTTTTCCCGAAATCCCATACAGGGTGTGCAAAAAAAAAAGACCACAGTTTGGGTCGAAATAACTCGCGAACGGTAGAGAATCGAAGGTGCGTTACCATGCCAGAATGCTTAAATATGCTGGGTATGAAGATTTAACACAACTTGATTTTTTCGATTTTTGGCGACGTATCAATACAAATGACACCCGAAAACTGTGCGTTCGGGGAAACTTCATTTATATTTTTCTCAGTTTCCTGTGGTGGCTGGCATCTAATTTTTATTAAGTAGGTTAATATAGGCAGCAGATATATACCTACGAAATTTAAGAATTTTTGAGGGTCTGGTTGAAAAGTTATAGAGGAATGAAATTTTGTATGGAGAAATTTCGTGAATTTTTAATATTGAAAAAACCTATGGCGAAAAGCTCAAAAACAGTTGTTGTGGAATACCTACGAAGCCGTTACAATCGCATCAAATCCTTAAAAAAAATTTTGAGATCGATGAATTTTTCGAGTTTTTCAACGACCACCTGGTCATGGATTTTTCGAGGTCCCGAAATCGAACTTTGGAAAAATATTTCTAAATTGCCTAAAGGGGACTCAGCTGTTTTCTTTGCTTAGCTATGTTGTTCTGGGGTTGATCTATTATCTACAAAATTTCGAGCCACCGTACCCCTTTGGAAGGGCGTCTTTTAGGGCCTCCAAAACGGTTGGTTCGTGCTTTTTCCGAATCTTGTCACCATTTTATAAAATTTAGTCGCGCTGTGAAAATTATCGTTTTATTTTTATCTGATATAATTTAAATAGCGCATCCTAAAGCCGTATTCATGAATTTTTTTAACCTGTCGTTGGCGCCAAGAAAATTCATCAAAACCGAAATAAACCGAATTGAGGCTGCGTAAAAAAATTTTGGAAGGTGGAGTCGTAGGGATATTTTGAGCAATAAGTCAGTGCTATCAGTTGAATAAAACTATGGAAGATTAAAAGCAATTTCGCGTCGCAAAAATTTTAAGAAGATTTCTAAACTTCGATTTTGGAAAAAGGTGATCTTCGATTTTGAGCTGAAAGTCACCATGATCATGAATCAGATTGCCCCCAAATTTGACGAGCATAGATAATAACATCAAATCTTTAATCGTATCCATAAGATGCAGGTGGTTTTTTTATTTTTAAAAATTCGAAAATTGACCCCGGCTACTCGGACCAAAAATCGGCTATCTGGCCTTGTTTTGCACTTTGCCTCGTAACTTTGTTATTTACCATCGAAAATCAGTCATTTTTGACAGGCATACAATCAACTCTAGAAGGCCCTCGAATAGAAAAATCGTCACTTTATGGAATTTTGTGATGGCATGCTAAAACGCGCTCCACGTGGGTTACTGTAGAAAACCGAAATTTGCGATTTTCGTGGTGTTTTTGCCATGGAATCGCTTCGATCTTTTCGGAAAACCAATAGTAGCAGTTTTTGGACCAATTGACCAAAAAATTTACAAAATTCTGCCGCAGAATTAAAAAATCTGTTTTTAGTCTTTTTCATGAACGTTTGTGGATAGTACGCTCTCGTATTTGGCAGTAAGGTGCCCCTACTTATTGCCTAACAACCCAGAAAATTTTAGCCGAATCGAAGCTAGGGGCCCCGAGAAAAGCGGGAAAAACGAAACCTACAGTACCCCGCTGGGGCACGTTTTAGCAAGCAATACTAAAATACCATAGATTATGGTGGAATCTGGTGTGGGATCCGAGATTAATATTTGGATAAGCCATTGGCAAAAAAGCAGCCATGGGCAGTGAGTTAGAAGCGAGTTATCACCCTAAGAACAAAAATAACGAAAACTCACGAAAATTGTTTTGCTTTTAAAAAATTAAATTGACCTCGAAAAATTCTAAAATTTTGCCATTACATTTCTGCAAATTTATACTATTTTTAGGCCAAAAATCAGGATTTTCCCACCACCCGTCCAAGAACGCACAATTTTCGGTCGTAACCAGCGTCAATAGTACAGTTTCGTACTCAAAAATCGAAAAAATCAAGTTGTGTTAAATCTTCATACCCAGCATATTTAAGCATTCTGGCATGGTAACGCACCTTCGATTCTCTACCGTTCGCGAGTTATTTCGACCCAAACTGTGGTCTTTTTTTTTTTGCACACCCTGTACATTTGATAGCCCGCAGCCAAAACTGACCGCTTGGTTTTTAAAAGAACCGAGCGCATTTTGACCAAATGTATGGGATTTTGGGAAAAGTTCTAAGAAATGGGCCAAATTTCAAGTGGTCGTATCTCGGCCATCCGATGTCCAATTTCGATGATCTCAACATCTATCGATATCTACTCCTCAAGAGCTATCGATTGGCGTTAAAGGTATCGCATGCAAATTGCTCTATGCAGAGATAGCTTGCAAAATAGGTTTGGTACGTTTTTGCGGAAAACTTCTCGAAGCTCTATCTCGGCGACTCTCAATTTTTGGGTGCGAGGAGGGTCTACCCAAGGTAGAGCTCGAGGAGACCTACCAAACCGTATATCACACTATTAATTTGGGCACGTCTGCAGCTTTAACAAGCGATTCCAAAAAATTGTGACAGAACTTATTATCCAACCTGGGAGTTCGTTAGATAAGGATAATAAAACAATGGCCTACATCCAAAAAACTACGTAAAAATACTTTTAGACCTGGGATACAGGGGGAAGATGGACAAAAGGGGCCATTATATTTACAAACAACAAAAACGGCTGACGGCCGGCGGAAGCCATTGTGTGCTCAACGGAGAAGCGCGAAGCGTGCCGGCACTAGAGCGAATTGTATCATTAGTGTTTTGGCGCGGGTTAGCGTTATAAAAAAAACGAGGAAAGCCGCTCCTTTCTCAGCTTTCCATGTTCTTTTAACAAGCCTAAAACGTACCCATTTCGACGCGACGCGCCGGTCTAAATCTACCGGGCGGAGGGGGTGGTGGTACTTGACTGCCTGGCCATTTCCCGTATCGTTCCCTTCCATCGTTTATTTCGTAGTCCTCATCTACCAAGCTCATCCCAGCCTAAAAGCGCGGTAAAACTTCGATCTAAATCTGTAAATTGAGTGCTATAAAATTTGGGCGCTTTCGCAATATCGGGGGGGATTTTTCTATGAGCCCAGGAATGCCTTGCAGCGTAAAATCAAGTTTTTTATACTGTTTTTAACAAATTCTAACTTAATTTTAAGTGGAAAACAATCAAAACAATTTCGAAAAAGTTTTTGTTAAAATCTTGTTCGCAAAATCTGTATTTTCTTCGTTCTTTTTATGATGATTTGCATACATAACCGCACAAAAACGGCCTAGAAAAATTCTTCAATCTGTGTCAGAATAAGTCCCACGAAAATGCGGAAGAATCGAAATTTTCTAGAGCGTTCAAAAGCCCTATTAAATTAGATAGCAAAGCTGGTACTGAACTGTTAGCGGAGGGGGGGGGGGGGTTAGCAGGGAAAATAATTTGTATTGTACCCACTTGTTGATAATATAAAACGTATTTTTATAGGTTTTTTAGTATTTTTTGGTTGCTAGAAAACTATAAAAGGGTTTAAAAAGGTTGAAATGTCGAAAGTTTATACCTTTTTCTTACATTTTTTACGAAAAAGTAAAAAATCTTCTTTACGAGCTTTTCTATCCAGAAACTCCTTAAAATTCTAAAATATTTTGTTATAGCCCGGCAGGGGATTCCTGGGAATGTTAGTGTTATCCTGCTAAAGCCCCCCCGCTAACAGTCCAGTACCAAACACATTACAGCAAGCATGAAAAAGACCTGCGGGCTAAGGGTCAAAGCTTGGCGAGGCTGTTGTGGCTGGCGGATGAGATGGGTGGCTTCATGAAAATCAGGGCGGGATGGTGGCTGATATCCGGGAGGTGGTTGATACCAAACTGGAGACACTAATGGGGGTAGTGGCTGATTGGGTTGGCGGACGGTCCAGGAAGGTTGTTGGATGGATGCCAATGGATGAACAGTTGGGGCAGCGGGTGGCGAGGGGATTGGTGTAGCATTTGGCATCAGCTACAAAGAAAGCATGGGTTAAGCTCGGCACGCCGGAAGCTATAATTCGTGAAATAGCCAAACAAACCCCTGGGCCTAGTGGTGTTCTGTTGGGATTGGGTCCAGGTTGAGGGCCGCCGTTCTAAAATTCGGTATTAAATTGCAGCTGTCGATATATTTAGAGTTTGTTAAATAAAACGAAACCGGGATCTTTGCCATTATCGGGGGGGGGGGGGGAGCAAGGCCTTTTCCTGGGATTCCCAGACTTGTCGCCACTATTTTTCAACGTCATAAATTCCGTAGAAAAAAAATCGATTTTCGAAATCAAGTTTCAATTTTCGCAAAAATGTCCAAATTTTAAAAACCTACATTTTTAATAATTTGATTTCCTTTTTCTATTTTCTATTTCCCCGCCGATAATGCGTAAACACGAAAGATATCAATAGAAATGAAAAGCCAAGCCAAGCCAAAGCCACTTACCACAGCACCGGCCACTTTCCCTGCTTCTTGCAGCCGCTGAAATGTTTAGTGAGCCGCGAAGCCGGAAAATATCGGTACCGGACTGCTAGCGGGGGGAACTAGTTTTTCCCAATAATCTCATAAGGCCCTAAATCGAAAACAAGCCTTTTTTGAGCTTTTGAAACAGTTTTAGAGAGAAAAAAACACAAAGATTTTTAAAAACAAAAAAATCAAAATTTTACATTTGTATGAAAAATAAATGACCACAAAAATCGTCGAAATTTTCAAAAGTTCAAAAATTTTCAAAAAAGGCAGTATAGGCGGGAAGATAAGCGTGAGTCTTCCCCCTGCTAACAGTCCAGTACCGAAATATTGTTAGTTGAGCGCAGAATAACATCAAAGAAGCCACCTGAAAATCGCGCCTCGCCTTGGCCTGGCGTGCCTTTTGCAGGCGCTCCATTTGGAATTGAAATTCGGGTCTTTGTTGCTCGGCGCTTGTCTGATAGTCAAGATCTTCCCGTCTTCGCTGCTGGGCCTCAATCCTTTTGCGCTGTGCGGCTTGCTGACGGCGGCGGCGCTGCTCTTGGCGCTGAATAGAGGGGATGTTTTAAAATCGAGCATACACGTACCTGTTTTTGCATCTTTTGCTGTCGTTGCTGCTGGGCTCGGATGCGTTCCGCCTTTCGGTGTTGTACCTAAATCGGAATTTAGCTCTATAGTCTTGTGATGGTTCGATTACAAATCATAAGCCATGTTTCGCATTTTACACTGGGAAACCCATCTTCAAAGAGTTCAGGAAAAATTTGAAAAACTGCAGAAATAGACGTTTTGTTCCAAAATCTCTTGAAAATAACCAAAAAAGCCTGAATTGCCAAGTGTTACTATTTTTAACAATGCAATTACTAATGTTAATACGCTATTTTCTCTATTAAATCCACCGATTTTACCTGGTTCACTTCGTCGTAGTCCGCCGACGAAATGGCACCGATACCTCCTCCTCCTCCACCACGAGGTCGAGGTGGCCCGCCAAAGGGTGGCATTCGACCTCCACCACCAGGGCCGCCCTGAACATCATATAATTGTTAGGTTCTTTCCCAATACCGGGGGGAGGCATTTATCAGGGGAAACGAACTTTTTTTTGCTTAGAATTCCAGGTTCCTAACCTACATAATTTTTCTAGAGTATTCCTAAACTGTTTCTTACTGGTCCTCGGCGTAAAGGCTTTACGACATTTTATTAAAAAAATACTGAAATATTGATTTTTGAGCAAAATTGCCGGTTTTTTACCAAAACTTTCATCAGCACAATTTTTTTTGACGTTTTTTTATTGATTACCAACTGATATCTATCTAAACTAGGTAATAAATAATCCTATTAAGTTACTAGGAATTCCTGGAAGCCCAAGAAAAAATAGTATAACGCGAACTTTACCTTGTTCAGCAGCTGCATGCCCAGCTGAGCGATCTCGGCGAATGGCATGTTGCTGCCCGGGCCCGCGCTATTTCCGGTTGACGCAAAATTGTTTAAGAGACCCTGAAAAACGAGAGTAAACACGATATAACAAAGCAATAATCAACCCCAAATCCAGAAGAAGACGAAGAGGCAGCTGCCGCGGCGCCCTCGTTATTTCCGGAAAGGCCGCTGCCGAGAAATGGGGTGAGGAACGACATGAAATTTTGTGCCTAAATTAGATAGAGGATAAATATGAGAGTCGTTTTACCTCAGCTCCCCTCGACAACGCAACAGTCATTACCAACAAGCGAAGCATTTCTGGAAGAGCCATGGCGCTCCAAATTCGACTGGTGCTCCTTGGCAACGAAATATTGGAAAGGTTTAGGTCAAAAAAGAGAGGAGAATGAGCTATAGAGCCCCAATAATCAAACCCAAAAAATTTATAAAGGATTCCACGTCATTTTTAATTTTGTTATAAAGCCGATAAAAATTTTCATTTTTGAATTTTTCAGTTTTTTAAAGAATGTATGAAAACTGTATTTTTTAAGTTTTATTAATTAAAAACCTATTAAAAACCAGTGTAGCCAGAACGAGTTCATAACTGCCAACCTTCTCTTCACAACCCTTTAAAAAAGTTAAAAAAATCCCGGTGGCGCTAGACAAATTCTGCATAATAATATCTTGGCAAACCGGCCAAAACGTTTCCCACCCCCGTCCGCCCTATGGCAGTGAAAGCCGAAGAGCAACACCGGGAATAAAAAAGGGGAGACGAATGCTGCCTCCGGGCACCACTTGGCTGAATGGTTGCTTTGTTGCTGAGGGGGGCTTTTCCTTTTCCGCTCAAATCTTCCTTCCCCCCACCAAATTGAAGATATTTTGTTGATGATTAGCGCTGACCCGCGGGGGAGAGATGACCCCCTGAGGAGGAGGAGGAGGAGCATGAGGTGGGGCCACGTGTGGAAAACGGAAAAGCGACCTTGCCGTTGGCGGACACAACAATGGAGCAAATTGAGGGGGCAATTCCGTGCCCCCAGGAAAACCCAGCAAAACGACGGAACCGGTCGACAGCACAGGCAAGACTGATCGAATGGACAGAGCCTCCTACTGACTCATCCAGAACCCTCACACCTTCAGAACAATACTACCAAAAGGGAAGGGGGAAGACAAAAGTTTGCGAGAGCCAAAATGCGCGTCAAATGGCGTAGCATCTGGCGTCGAGAAAAAGCCGAGGGCATCACCTTGCCGGCCACGCTCATTCATCCCCTTCCCGCCGCGCGAGATCAAATCTGGGGGGCGAAAACCGGCGCTTCACAGCCCCCGTCCTATCCTTGCGTGTTTTTAATCCAGGCTGACCAGAGACACTGTATTCGGTCTGTGTAGATATACAACGATTTGTAAATGGGGGAGGCGATGAGGAGGGGGTTGATCTTCTAATTCTGAGAAAATTCGAATCGGGATGAGATTACGGTGCGGAACACATCAATGTAAAAAGATGCAGGGGTGAAAAAGGAGGCTACCAGTATCAAAGCCGAACGGGTGATTCAAAGGAAATTTATGAAACGGCGAGACCAATGGAGGGGGTTTGAGGGGATTGTTAGGCATTCCGAAATTAACGGCGCTTTTTCTGAGGAGGGCTGCCGCGACGGCGATCCTTGTCCCCATGGCGCTTCTTGGGAGACGATCTGTGGTGGTGCTTGCTGCTCTTCGTGCTGGGGGCATCACGTTCCTCGATTTCCTTCCGCTTGTCGGCTTTGCGGGCCTCTTCCTCCAGATCGGACCAATCCTACAAGCACACAATTGTAAGCATGTACTCGCACTTACCTTTCCGGAGCTTTCGTCCGAGTCGAGGGAAGCCGATCCGTCGTCGCTATCGTCTTCAGAGGCTTCTTCATCAGATTCCTCATCTTCATCCTCATCCGAGCCGGATTCAGAGCCCTACAAAACAAGATAAATCAATTCATCCAAAAACATACGCCCTCTTCGCTTGGATCGTACGCCTCCGACTCGTCGCTTTCCTCTGCCTCACCCTCATCGTCGGAATTCGGGTCCAAGAAGCTCCAACCGCCGGTTTTGAAGAACTCCTGCGCGAAATTTTAAAAACACAGAAAATAATCTACCTTAGGATCATCGACGATCGTTTTCATGATCTTTGGCCAGTTGAGGGATTGGATGCCTTCATTGTATTTGATGTCGCACGAGTTGAGCCATTCCTTCACGGTGTCCAACGAGTTCATCGGGATTTGCGCCACCATTTGTGTTTTTCTACGGTAGTCCTGAAAACTTATTTTTGAAAATATCAGAATTGGAAATTACCTTGAAAATGAAGACCATATCGAAGTTCTTCAACTGGAAGGAGACACGCTCAAAGTGGACGAGCTCGACCTCCAACAATGAAATGACGAATGGCGGCCACTCGGAAAGGTTGACCAGGCAAGATGAGGTCGGCTTCAGCTTGCAGCTGCTTCGGAACGGTACTCCGTAGAAGCCCAGATCTTCGAATGGGGTCTCGAAGTCGAAGCGATTGTTCGTTTGCTTTTCCACCTTTTCGCAGAACGATTGGAAGGCCAAGTTCAACTTGCGCCTCATTTCACGCTCCATCTAAAAAAATCTCATGGGAATCTACCCATCTCCTTACCTGCTCGGAAGCGACGTCGTCTCGGTCTTGCATGTGGTGGTATTTTCCCAAATCCGTCGTGATCTCGCCGACTTCCGTGTAGAATTGAATGTCGCTGTACTTCTTCTTGCCCCAAAGAACCGGATCTCGAAGGTGGAAGTGAATGAGAATTATCATCTCGTTGTTGCACGGCTGAAATAATCAAGAAAATGGATAAATTAAAGCGGGTCCTACCTGGAAGAAGGCGTGCTTAATGTTGTTGTAGAGGACGTCAATCTTGTCACCGCGAAGCGAGGTGTAGCGGAAGCCGTTCATATGTGCTTCTAGTGAGCCGCTGACCTTTTTGGCGATGATGATCGGTCGGACATACCTAATAATTTGACAATTCACGATCTAGGGACTTACAAATCCTTTAGCTTCGGATTGACTTTGCCATTGGATAGGACAAGCTTGTCTTGTTTCACGGTGCCCTCTTTTTCACGTTCTTCCGCCTATCAGGAAAGATTAATTCTAAGGAGTCAATCTTACTTCTTCCATCCTGAACTTCTTCTGCATCTCCTTGATCAACCGGAAGGCGTTGTTCAGGTTGTTCGACGGGGCCGTGGTGGAACCGTGGTCTTTGGTGGTGCTGGCTCGTAAAGTGATCTCCTTCATGTAGGTGGCAAGCGGTTGTGGGAATTGTTGATTTTCCTTCCCGACAGCGCTTCCAGGATGGGCAAAGTTGATACGAAGGTACATAAAGTCACTTTCGATCGAAGTTGAACAGTTCTAAGAAACCTGTGAATGAACGTAAAAAAAGCCTTACCTTGATCATTGAAATGTGGAAGGGCACGGGGATTCCAAACAGCGGCAGGATAACGCTGTCGTGACGCCGATCTGTAGAGGAAACTCAATAGAAAAACCGTGGAGCCTCTACTTACCGACATAGACCATCAAATTGTCAATATCGTCGTCGTTCGGGAACTTTTCGTAAGACTTGTACGATGTGTTCGATTTCTTCACTCTAAAACAAGTCGTATCTTGGTAAAAATAGCGAACAAACTTTTTCTGGTCTTGTTGACCCTGTTCTTGGGCAATACGCTCCTCTGCATTTCGATTCAAGATGTCGGCCAGTTCCTTTTGCCGCTCTTTGCGTTTGTCCTCGTTGGTCTGCTTGTTTCGGGTATGATCGGTCAAAATGACGCTTCTCTTGCCACGGCCCAAGTCTTCCTCCAGCGGCTTCTCTAAAAACGCATATGCGAGTTTTGTAAAATCGAAACGAACCATCTTCTTCCTCATCCTCGCGGATACGCACCACTACAGACTTCAGCTTTGATCTAGCCTTCTCGGTCAAAATTTGTGTGCCAAGCTTGGAAATGAGCACTGTATCTCCGACAGAAAGGGCAGCCGTTTGACCATCCGCGTCTTTTGCTCCAGTATTTTTCAAGTTCGTGAGCCACAGCTGCACAATCACAGTCATGCCTTCTTGCACCTAAAATTTCGGTTTCGAGTAAAGTATCGAATGGTACCTCAGCGTGACATTTAGGCGAAATCGATAGGAATGATTCGCGAAACTCGATCCCTGTGCAGAAACCAAATTCCTTTGTGTGAAGCTTTGAAATGAGTGCAGGATCTTGTTCCTTCAAAGCATCGAGGCCAGCCTGGTAGACGTCAGAGAATTTCACGCCGGGAACCAGCTTATTGATGATTGCCGTCTCCATTAAAAGAAGGTTCTCATAGGCAGTCTCCAACTCTTTGCCCGGGTCAACCATCATAGTGCGGGTCAGGTTGGAGCAATAGCCCTAAATCAATGTATTCTATAACTTCTAAATTATTACCTCGAGACGGCAGCCGAAAGAAGTCACGATGACGCCGAAATGGATATTCTTCGACGAGCTTGACGCACTCCATTTCATCGAATAGTTGCCACCACTCTGCACAATTGGTGAATAGGCATGCTCGATTTGACGTTTACTGAGGTTGCCTTGTACGGGCACTGACTTCATCAGGTTTTCGATTTCAGTGGCGGCCTTCGTTTGGCTTATTTTCTAAATTATGCGTTGCAAAGACACAGATCGATCCCTACTCTTTCGGCGTCAATGTATTCGACGTATTTCTTGCGAAGAGCTTGCCACGTGTTGCAACAAGCCAGTGCCGATTCCTTGCTAATTTCGATCTCGTGCTCGTCCTTGACAGCGAATAGACGGGCAAACGCACCACTGACATCGACCTAAATCACATTTTACATACGTCGTACGGAGGCTACCTTTTCAATATCGCCAAGAGTCTTGACCCAGTCGGCGCAAAACTCGTTTTTGTAGTTATCCTTGGCAAAATAGCCAACTTTCCCATCGATTTCCTTCAGGTGGCCCAAAAGAGTCTCGAAGTTCTCTTTGTCTTTGTCGGCCTGCAAATGACGTGCGGGGTAGTTTCGAAAGTCGTACCTTATTGCGAAGAATAGTCTGAACAACGGGTACGGGCGCATGAGAATCATCGTTGACCACTGGCTCGAAGAATTCGACCTTATTCTTGGAAGCGAGCATCCAAATGCCCTTCTTCGTCATGACCAGCAGGGCATCGGGCAAGTCGATAGTGTATAGCCACGTCTGAAAAACTTTATATAGTGAAAATTCGCGTTATACCTGGAAAGACTGGCTTTTGCAGTAGTTATTCACTTCATCGTCAGTGCCGACGACTACATAGATGGCGCCAACCTCCGAAAGCCCAGATTCGCCAGATTCCTGCAAAAGTCACGTGCAATTCGATCGATAATCCCATTTTTGCTCGCCAAGGCATGGCGATCGATTGTTTTAACAAAATAACGTACCCATAACTCGTACAGGCGAGTTAGACGCTTCCAGAAGTTTTTAGAATTAACGACAATCTTCTTCTTTTCTGATGGCATCTTGCTAAATGTGAATTTTGCTATAATAATTATAGGAAAGGAGAGATAAACGAGCAGAAAAGGAATGAATGTTTTCGTAAAGTCCTTTGGTGGGAATTAGGCGGGACATTTCTGCAGGAGGATTTGAGAAAGAGGTAGAGGCAAGGGCGCGGGATAGCAATGACAGGCCATCGGGAGCGGCGCAGGAAAAGCTTTCGATCTTTTTTCTTGTTTTTTATTATTCTTTCGATGAAGGATGGTCGATGAAAATGAATTCTCAAAAATCAAGATTGACGATGAAAAGCCGAACTCTGACCTCTACGACCTCTGTTTTACTTCGGTCGACCAATTGGAACCGGATGAGTGCGCTTCTACATCTTTTTTCGACCAGGGAGAGTAAGATATTCGTTTCCATCCTAAACTAGATATTTCCAGAAACCGCCCCGCGGAGTACAATTATGAACATGTCGGAGCCACTAGCGTAGTGAGTTATTCCGGGCCGAAAATAAAGATTTTTTTCGGGTCGGCTTCCTGGAAGAGGCTGCCTACAAGCGGTACTTTGTCCAGCCGCACTACTTTGAGAGATGCAGTGGCCCATCGCATGTAAGCTGAAATATTTTACTTGTTATCACATTTTAGGCGCCGACCTTTGAGGTGGTCTGCAAAACCTTGGGATATGAATGCAGTGGTCATGGCAATTCGAAGGCTGTCGCCAAGAATATGGCGGTTCGCAACGTGCTCAAGGCCATCATCGAGGCCCCTGACGAGGATTATAAACATTTCTACATCCCTGGGGATACGAAGGAGCAGCGCCTCGCATTCGTGTAAGAGCACCATTTCCACTTTCTATAATCCTTCTTATAGCGAAAACCTCTATATACGCTCCAATACAGCCACGCCGAAGTCGCAAGAGTTTCTCAAGGACAACTTTGTGGGCAAGCTACAAGAATTGTAAGATAGAGTTCTTCTTTTTCGAAATTTTTCAGGTGCATGAAAAATAAATTGGGTGCACCCCAATACGATTTTGAACAAAAGGGGCCGTCTCATGCTCCGACATTCGTCGCCACTTGTCAAGTGAGTCTTGCGGCGCTGCACTCAACCGATTTTTAGGTAGATAACCACACTTCCGAAAGTGATGAATTCAAAACCAAGAAGGACGCGAAAGCGCAAGCTGCTTTCAAAATATATCAGATGCTATCGAAGGTATATTGATTGGATGCTCTGAATTAAATTGAAATTTAGAGCATCGCCGACATGGAACGTGAATTTGATATCTGTTCCGACGACGAGGGCGATGGCGAGGAGCTGTGCCAGGTTTTCGAGGTCGATGATGATATGGGGGTATCGTTTTGTTTCGAGTCGAAGATCGGGTTTAGGGATTTGCCGAATCGAAAGTCGACACGCGGCTGTGGGATGAACTAAACTGAGCTTGAGCCTAAGATCTTTTATGTACTACGCGTATTTTTCTCTCCTGTGATACTTACAGTCTTGCCTGATCTGAATAAACTTTTGTTTGTATATACTATTTTGCATTTCCTGTGGATATCCCATTGCTGTCGATGTAAAGGCATCACCTATCATAAAGGTGCTTCAGGCTGGTGTGGTGACGATGATCTTCCCTACCGCCGTCATCCGCAGGGTCCCCAACGTTTTGGCCAAGGTGAGGAGGTTTTTCGAGGTAATTTCGTTTAGTCGAGCGCCTGCTTCTCGACCGGAGCCAACGAGTCGACGAACCTGAAGGAAGTTCTGGGAAAGAAGATCCCGGAACATAACAAGGATGTGAAGGCCTTCCGAACCCAGCACGGGAGTACCGCCGTGCAGCAGGTCACCGTCGATATGGTTCGTTTGTCTATTGCAGCTATATTTTCTCTCCACTTGTTTAGATCTATGGTGGAATGCGCTCGATGAAAGGCATGGTGACGGAAACCTCGGTGTTGGACCCGGAGGAAGGCATCCGTTTCCGCGGATACTCGATCCCTGATTGCCAGAAGTTGCTCCCGAAGGCCCCTGGTGGCGAAGAACCGATCCCGGAAGGCATTTGGTGGCTCCTCCTCACCGGCGATGTCCCGAACGCCAAGCAGGTCGTTTTTCATGCGTTTTGCTGACGATTTTTACAGACTGCTGCCGTCACAAAGGAATGGAATACTCGTGCTGATCTGCCCGCCCACGTTGCCCGTATGCTTGACAACTTCCCTGACAACCTCCACCCAATGGCTCAATTCATCGCTGCGATCGCGGCACTGAACAACGAAAGCAAGGTGTTCTTTTTTAGCTGGAGCATATTAATGACACGTTCAGTTTGCCGCCGCCTATGCTCGTGGAGTTCCGAAGTCGGCCTACTGGGAGTATGCGTACGAGGACTCGATGGACTTGCTCGCCAAGCTGCCCACCGTTGCTGCCATGATCTACCGCAATTTGTACCGCGACGGCTCATCGGTTGGAGTGATTGACGCGAAGAAGGACTGGTCGGCCAACTTCTGCTCTATGCTTGGCTACGATGACCCATTGTTTGCCGAACTGATGCGCTTGTACCTGGTAAGCAAAAGAGGAGAGGGCTGAAGTTTTTGCATGTTTTTCAAAAGTAGTTTATCATTTCAGGTTATCCACTCTGACCACGAGGGCGGTAACGTGTCTGCCCATACGTCTCACTTGGTTGGCTCGGCGCTGTCCGACCCGTACCTCTCATTCTCTGCCGCCATGTCCGGCCTCGCTGGACCTCTTCACGGATTGGCCAACCAGGAGGTATCATCCTTCAGTTTCCAGTAATCACTCTTTTTAGGTGCTTGTCTTCTTGAACAAGATTGTTGGAGAGATCGGACTCGACCACTCGGAGCAACAGCTGAAGGACTGGGTGTGGAAGCACCTGAAGAGCGGCCAGGTTGTGCCCGGCTACGGACACGCTGTGCTGCGCAAGACCGACCCGCGCTACGAGTGCCAGCGTGAATTCGCCCTGAAACACCTGCCGAAAGACAAGCTGTTCCGTCTGGTCTCCAACCTCTACAAGGTCACCCCCGACATCCTCCTGGAGCAAGGAAAGGTAAGGAAGCCTTCTATTGACATCTCAGACTGTTCTTTCTAGGCGAAGAACCCGTGGCCAAATGTGGATGCTCACTCCGGCGTCTTGCTGCAGTACTTCGGCATGACGGAGATGTCGTTCTACACCGTCTTGTTCGGCGTCTCGCGCGCCCTTGGATGTCTTTCGCAGGTATGCATTGCGTGCTTCTACTTTTTACCTCAATACCTATTATAGCTGATCTGGGCTCGCGGCATGGGACTCCCGCTGGAGCGACCGAAGTCTCACTCGACCGAGGGCCTGAAGAAGCTCGCTGCCGCCGCGTCCAAGAAATGAACCCTTTCTTTTCAATCTTCTCCATAGATCTTTTGCCCATATCTAGAGTATTACGTTGGCTTCAAATTCGCTTTTCCATCTCGTACTGTGTGTCTTGAGGCCATTCACCCCTGCCTTCTTTTGCCCGTGGTTCTGTGCGGTGATATAAATTTCTCTCGATTGTTGTTTTGTCTTCAGCGTCCAAAACTAGCCTAGTGATTAATAAATTTTTAAGAGAATTGGTAGTCACCGCTTTGTCCGATCGACCAGGCGGCAATGAGACACGATTCGCGAGCTGGTTGTGAACATCTTTATTTTGCTTCAGAATCGGATAAGTGAGATCAAGGGATAGTCAGTAGAATAGCCGCGAGATGGCTTGGCATTCACTCTTCATCTCGTTCGATGACAGGGCGCGGGCTTCAGCTAGACACTTCAGGCTTAGCACGCGCTTCGGATTGTGCAGACGGCGTAGCCACATCGCCTGGTCTTTGTCCTGATGATGCTAGTTCGCGATTGCATACGTGTCTCACCATGTAGGCCAAGTAGCAGGCGCCCGTCGCACTGGCAACGGGCTGGCATAGCGAGAAGCGAAGCCCGTCTGCCACTTTCGTCGCCTCCTTCCACGTCCAGGTGCGCGTGTTCAGGAAACCGACTCTGTATTTACAGGTGGATGCGTCTCGTATATGCGTATCTCGTACCTCGTCTGCTCGGTGAAGAGCAAATTGTAGCGCCAGTGATCGCAACGGATGCGCATCCTGATCAGAGCAATCGTTAACCTTAAGTATTGTTGGTCAGAAGGGCGCGCCAAAGGTTATCTACCATCGTGGCGGCAGCTGGCCGGGGTAGAAGAGCAACAGGTTCAGGATCTGTCGGCTCACATTTCGGAGCAGCTGAAGGGGTGCGCTCCAATTTGCGAAAATCTTACGGCCTACCTGGTAAAGTGCGACGCGCCACCACGTCAGCTCTTTCGAGTTGTTAGCCGCTGCTATCAGCTGGAATCGGCGTTTAATTGTTTGCCCAGTTTGTATACGGTATCCGAATGGCATCCGGCAAACTTGATCCGATAGGGAGGTGTCATGCTGCCCGGCGAGCTGTTCGGGAAACCAGTTTTCGGGTCAGTGCGCAGCTCGACCAGTTCGAACGTTTTTCGCCTAAATATTTTTTTCAAAAATAAATGATTGTTAGGTACCTAATATTTACAACGAGAACCATCATCGGCATCGGCACGCCAAGAAAAGCGTTTTGCACATGGAAGAGGACGGTGGCATCTGGAGCATCAATGGCCGGGTATTAAATAGCAAGGAAGCCAGCGACCAACCATCATGAAGCACTTGTGGATTGCGCTTGACGGAGAGGGTGAGCCCTTTTGGGGAAAGCGATGCTTCCATCTGGATGAACAAAACAAACAAATGCACCAATTTGCGGATGCGTACCTTTTTCAGAAGCGCCGACAGATCTTCCGTGTTGCCCTCCCATGGCAGAATTGGCGCGAGGAAGGCGAGATATAGCCCGGAATCTAGAAACGGAAAATTAGGAACTTTTTTACAAAAACTACTATTTCTTTGCTGGGCAACGACGAGCACGTTGGTCTTCAGATGGCACAACTGGATGTCGTTGATCTCTAAAGACGTGGAGGGTAAACGAAATAGGTTCCAGCTCACCAACACGGGGCTCGCCATCTCTATTCATTGAGTAGTTTCGGGTGAAATAGGGGAACCCCGTGCGAGTCCCGCTGTCGAGCTGCAAAAGTCGATCAATGAAATAAAAAGATGAAAAATAACATACACGAACAAAATGTTGCCGGATGGGTCCATGGCCGGCCGTGTACAGCAGAAATTCGTTGGAATTCAACGGGTAGATGTCGATGGCCAGCTGCAGGTCGAAAAATGGTCCCACCTTGTACTCGGTGCTATTCTCTAAATCATTTTAGCTAAGCGCATCAGTGAAAGATGATACCCATAACGATATCGATGACTTCAACGTTATACGAGACGTAGATGTGGGACGGGTTCGTCGCCGTAAACTGGAACTTTTCTGTACTGGACTGTTTGCGGGGGGGAGCTAATTAGCCTCCACCTATCTGAAAAATCCTTTACACGTTTAGCAACATCTCTCTATAGTTTATTTAGTAGTTTTGACCACTATAAAGTAAAGAACGTAATTTTTAGATTTTTCAATGACGCAAATCTTAATTTCAAGACTCAAAATCGCGAAAAAACTATATAAATGGGGTGTATTAATCGCCCCCACCCTTATCACGGCCGTTCAGAGCGTGCACGAGCTTTAAAAGCTATAGAAAACGCTTCCAAGACTTCATGATATAAAAGTTTTTTTACGAAATTGTGGGGAATTTTTAGCTTTATCGAGCTAGAGCGGCGATTTTCGAAATATGACCCAGGGGAAAGGTTATCAGCAAAAAAGGAGAAAATCCTTAACATATAAATGCTGTCAGCCGCTATTCCTCTAAGTTTTTTATACTAAAATGTGCAGAATTTTTTTCTCTATCGAACTAGAGCGGCGGTTTTCAAAATACGGTCAGGGGGGGGGGAAGTTATGAGCTAAAGAAGAGCGGCGCTCTTAACATTTTTGGGGAGTGGGGGAAGCCCCTCTCATGCGCGCCTTCCCATAGATCTGAACGGCTGTGCTTAAACGTCCAAATTTAAAACAACGCACCTCGATCCGGTAGACCTGAAAATAGTAGCGGCCGCTGGGGTCGAAGCCAGCTTTTTGTGAGAACGAGGGGATACATGGCTCATCAACGATCTTCCGGTCAGGCAGCTGGAAGAAGAAAGTATAAAAGGAGACTCGGAAATCAACCAAATTAGTAGGGGACGAAACAGTAGTCATCAAAGAGGTGAGAACAAAAAACGAGTATGGGGCAACCAAGTCACGGCCGAGGGTCGGTCAGAATGTCAAGCTCAAGCGAGGGCTCCAAAAATTGGCTGATTTATGTAAATTTCAAAAATCTCAATCTTCGAGCTGCATCACCGGGGATCGCTTTCAGGATAATTTGCCTTTTTCTACTTTTAGTTTGGATTTTTGCGGCTTGTCTGATGACGAAACTCTTACACTTTCGAACGCTCGAGCCCGACGATTTTGCGCAGGTACAAAGGTAGGTACTAGGCTTTTAGCGGGGTTAATGTTCGTCTTGCTCTTGCGAAGTATTTTGGTATACTTTACACACCTGTAGATGAACAGGGAGCCGAGATACCGTGGGCGGGGGCCGGCTGGGGGTGAACTGCAATTAAGCCTTAAAAACTGCTAAAAAGGTTATTTTTTTGCTAGGAAAGCCCAGCATAAAGTTTCCCGCGCGCTCGCCCCCCCGCTAAAAGCCTAGTGCCTGCAGGCCTGGTCCCTTTTCAGCATCGGCTCGGCGTCTATTCCGATCCACTACCCGGCCGATTATTGGCAGTACATGTGCGATCCGAAAAGCATCTATTATTCGTTGGGCGCTTTTGAGTGGGGTTTTCGAGTTGTTTTTGATGAAACGCCGCGTTCAGTCATCAAAACAACCTGATCGGCGTGTGCGCGGTGATTGCCGACATGAAGGAGGTGATTGCCACTAGACACAGTGAACTTGAAGAAAGGCTACTGATCGACCAATTTGAGAAGGTTAGCTTTTGCCTTCTAAAAACATACGCCGAAATCCTTGGTAGGTGAGCTACGTGTCGACGTGCTTTGTGCGGTCGGATTGTCGTGGCCTCGGCATCGGCTATCAACTCATCCAGCGCCAAAAGGATGCCATGATTGACCGCGGCAGCCAAAGTACCTTTCACCCGTATTTTTGCCAACTTTTGCAGTGCTCTATCTGCACGTCCTCTGCACGAATACGTCGGCCATCAAACTCTATGAGAAATGCAGTTTCACTCAGCGATGCCGTTTTAAAGAGTGGGTTAAATACCAATTATATCAACAAGCGAAAAACGGCCGAAGATAGCATCCTCATTGCAGCTACTACTCCAGCGTAACGACGAGACCCGGCGAGCGTCAGGATGCCTATCTCTACTTTATCGTACACCCCCAACAAACTAGGATAACTGCGATTGCAGGAGCTCAAGCGCAATGGAGGCATCTTCTACTGCTGTATGTAGATGGTCGGCATCGTCAACTAATAGAGATCCTTCGTTTGAGAGAATTAATAAATATCATGATTCCCCGCGGTGTAGGCCAACTAGTCGAACAACCTCGCAAAAAGACCAGTTTCGACGTGTAAAATGCCCCAGAAACAATATGCGTCAGAATAATTATTTATCTCAACAAAATGTTAACAAACAACAAATTATTTCTTGACGTAGGCCTGGTTGCTGGGAGTAGAGCCGCCGAGGGCAGCGTAGCCACGTGACTCCAAGGTGCGTCCGACTTGGGAGGGCGTCTGATTGGTGACTTGATTTTGACCGCTAAAAAGAGGAATTAGCAAGGCTAGTGAAGCGAAACTGAGCTATATACACTTAGTATTAAGCAATGAACAAAAGGGTATACGCTCGTTTCGAAACCCACTAGCAAGTTTTCACAATGAAATGCAAAAAAATTACTTGGAACCTCTGGCGAGTCCTCCTCCGCATGCAGCACGATCGGCCGGACTCATATTCTGCGCATTGCTAATCGTCGTGTTGGGGTGCGAAGGTCCGGAGCGGACGTTGAAAACGGAGTTGTGATTCGGCATTTTTCTAGAAAACAAAATAAAAAAATTGAAAACGGGAATCTGCACTCACCTTGTCAGAATTCAGCTGTAAAACAGTTGCGTATGAGGCGAGAGAAATGCGGAAGGATGGCCATACCCACGTTTTCGCTTCTTTATATACCTTGTGCCGAAAATTTTCATCAAAATTTTCGCGGTCGCAGCGGGACCTCCTTGTAACGGTAAAAATAGCAACAATTGACGTTTAGCAACGTAATTATTATTTAAAACAATTTTTACAAATTGAGAAACTTACTCTGCTGGCATGGCACGGCTGAGCCGCGAGCCAAAAACGCCACACCCCCCGGGTTCGGTTCCTCTGCGGCGCGAACTCCCCCATTTTGGTGATCTTTGTTTTGCTTTTTGCTCCAATGTATCACCGTTCGTCTACTGTAACCACAAATAAAATCACCTCGCGAAAAAGCCCCAAAAAAAAGGAAAAAGCGGCCAGAACGCTTTTTAAAAAGTGGAACAAAAACAGTTGCAATTTCGCTCCATAATCAGGTTTCAGGGTTGCTATTACCAATTTTTTGGCTTAGTAACGATAATAAGAACGCTCTGATGCGTTTATTTGGCCAAACAACAAAGGCTCCTGCCCCAAGGTGCGCCTACTATCTTAGCTATTTTTTAATGGGGGTTTCTAATTCAGCAGTTTCGTTAATACTACACTAAATTGAAAAAGTTACCTCAAATCGCCCATGTGGCTAGAATCTTTGGGGTTGATCGTGTTTTGATAACAAGGGTGAAACACTAGTACCGCTGGGTTGGAAAATTTCGGGAACTAGGCTTCAAAATCTCCTTATTTTGGTGAGAACTCTCGTCGCGCCCCACAGTTCGATAGAGAATTTTTTTTCCCAATTTCCCCCGCCTCCGAAGAATGGAAAGAGAAAAAAAAAAGTTATTAGAGAAAACGTAGATTTTCTGGGTTTTAATATGGGCGCCGCCGCCCCGCGGCGGGGCAATAGGCGCGCCCGTACTAAAGTGCCCTTTGACGAGCCGTGAACGGGCGTGGCACAGGTATGATTCTACCGCGAGGGCTCAGCCGTGGCACGGCCGTGCCTGGGGTTCGGCTGTGGCTCGGCGTTTTCCGGGTGTTGGGGTGTGGGGTTTTTTTGGTGGGGGTTTTATTAGAGAAATTTAATTCCGACACAATCCTGAATGCAATCCGGAGGACCACTTTCGTTGGAGAACCGAGACCCTGTGCAGATTGCCACCATTTCTTCATTCCTTTCTTCATCCTCCTGTCCGGAATCTTAGCCTCACGCAATTCACAGGACGCAAAGACGTGCCATTTTTCGGAGAACATTTTGACCTATCTAATTTTTTGATTTTCTGTGGTAGTGTCCAGATAAGTCCTTTATAGCAAAGAAATTGAGGCGCGGAAAAACGAAGTACGCCGTCCGTGTACAGTTGGGCGCGCATATGGGTGTCATGTAGCGATTTTCCTGGTAGTGGAAAATGTGCTCTCATCAATTTTTATTTTAGCGTGCCGAATGAAATTTTGGAAGAAAGTCGCGGCGATTCCTCGTTTGTCGCAAGCCGCTAACCGGAAATTCTCATGCGTCCGTAGCATACTCCTAACATGTGAGGAGGCTGCCCAATCAACAAGGGAACACGCGGGTTGGGCTTAGTATTTCCCGCCGCGCGAATTCTAACTTTTTGTGTAGCTTTTCTTCCGCCCACTTTTCGTTTTCAGCTTGACTGACCTGATGTTGAAGAAAATTTTCTAGGCGGTGCGATGTCCGATCTTCATGGGGTCGAGCAGCGTGTTCTCAATGTTGAGAATGTAATTAAACACGGTATCTTCCCACCGCTAGTCTTTATGATTTTTCTAGTGCTGACACAAACAGCGAACGGACTCGACGACCGCTATGAGAAGTACATCCCGCTGTTAAACAGGCAGCGCTTGGACCTTGCCGAAGGACTCCAAGCTCTTGACAAGGAGGTAATGAATTTTGGCTTTTTTTGTCGCTACGGTCAGAAAGGGCGAAATAATTGATCCAGATCTCGCGTAAACTCGAAGATATTGCGATTCGTGTGACTGCTGCCGAAGAGACCGGGGCCAAGGTTACTGCCGGTGTTTATCTGAAAGTTTCTTTTAGTTGGAAACGGTGCGCATGCGAATCGAGGCAATTCGTGAGGCTCGCGGCTTCGTGGAAGCTGTCGAAGATGTGGAGCGTCATCTCGCCAAGGCCTACTTTGTCGAGCCACCAATTTCCACGATGGCCCAGAATGTACGCCATCTCACACAATCGCTCGACTCTGTCAGCAAGGTAGAACTCGTTTCCTATCATTGTAATGTTTTTAGTGTGCTGAAAAATACGGCATCGAGAAGCGGATTGGTGACTCTCTCGGGGCTGAGGTGCGGCGCCAATACGAATACCTCTGCTACCAGCTGACCAAGTACTACAAGGAAGCGATCCAGTTCGGTGATCCCGACGTCAAGAACACTCATATATTGACGTTCAATATGCCCACGGTAACCACTGCTAGTCAGGTAGGTAATTTTCTGGGCGTGAAACGGTAGAGGGCATATGGGATTTCCTCTATTGTTATTGGAAAAGTCACCTTTTCAGCATTTCACTGCAATGGCCGACATTAAATCGCTGGATGTTCGGTTGGTGCGGCTCGCGGAATACATTGTGGACAAGATGTGCGCAGCCGTGATCAAGAATGGTGGCGCTCCGGCGGCCGTAAAAATTTACAGGGATACGATGGTGAGTTGCGTAATAATTTTTGATCTACAAATGTTATTTTTAGGATAAGCTGACGATCAAGGTGCGAGTGCCCGCCAAAACTGACAAATCTGAACCTCTGGACGCGAAAGCCGTATTGAGGTATAGGTGCTTACATCATTTCCAACTTTTTAATTTAGTGCTCTTACCATTCTGTTGCGCGCCATTGCCGAACAACTGAACCTGGTCGTGGTGCAGCAGCGCTCCCTTTCACTATGTTTGGGAAAGCACATCGAGAAGCCGCTGATGCAGTTGCTTTTGAAGGTATGAGTCTATCTAAGAACTTATCTAGATCGGTCTAACTCCTAAAGTCTAGACTGCTTTCTTTAAAATGATTCATGCGTAACTGTGTCTTTTCAGGAGGTAATCAGTGTGTGCGTGCCGGCACTTGCTCACAATGATGATCCGACGATGCAAGCCGTGATGGAAGCTGCCGAGGCCTGGCGCGATGCCCTTATTGAGGCGCAGCTGTTCACAGTGGCCACCCCGACATTCGCCAGCTTTGCTGCGGAGAACGACCGCGTCTTTATTGATCGTAGGTGAGCGAGTTTTTTAAACCCATAATTTATTCTTAACGAAATTGCAAGCAAAGGTCCTTGATTAATCGGGTAACCTGCTCTCATCTTGTGTTTCCATCATGTGCCGGTTAATTAATCACATTATTAATACATAGTTATTTTACTCTATGGGGGTATGGCGTTGCGATAAGCAGACGGTTTCTCATCATCAAGGCTGCCCGGCTCGGCGTCTCGACATAGCCAGCGAATGACCGTCACCTGCAAACATCGTGGCATGGCAAATAATCCAGGTGTCTCAAGAAGCTTATGGAAAGAACTAACCTGGGTGCTATGCTCGTCAAATCCCAGTGCCACACCGTGATTTCGAAAGTTGTTGAGGTACGAAGCCGCGGAGATGATCGTCAGTACTTCATTTGGTTTATTCAAGAATCCTTGGTCGATCAGCTGCCGGCCTCGGATGAGCAACTTGATTTTATTCTCCTGACAAAATAGGGTGGCCTCGGCATCTAGAAATTGTTGGGGGGTAGATGGGTAGCTTTTTTTGATTTACCAGTGAAGGATGGCATTTCGTCACGACTATCATTTTGCCTTGACACTGGCTTCTCGACAAATTCCATTACGGCCCACATGGTCTCGATAGTCAGATTCAGATCGAGATCGTTCTCGGGAGGCCGGCTCACTTGTCGAAGCCTCGAAAGTCCTAACATTTTTTTTTGTTAGCGACGTTCGTGGATCCCACCCTCTTCACGCAAATACCTTCCGGGACCACCATGCATGCACAGTATTTCTTTGTTGATTGTGGCGGCGAGAGGCAGCGCGGCCAGTGCTTCCTAAATCCCGGGAGCGTAAAATTTTAAATGGTGCTTAGCCCAAGGGTTAACTTCCTTTATTCCGCGTAACCTCCAAAATTGTCCTTTAATTCATTATCTTTTATTCGCCTACGGGACATTGTAAAATTTATGAATGTAAAAACCAGCTAATGAACCAGAACCATAATTTTTGCGCTCACCGTAACGAGGTCCACCGAACGCAGGTCTTCCGTAGTCTTGACCTCCTCAGGCAACAGTCCGCGGCGCTGCATGTCCTCGTAGAAATCAATTTCCTGGAATTGGGCACATCTGAGGGGTATGTGTATTCAAAATCACTTTGAAAAGAGCTGGGTCTTCGTGGAACCCCTTGAGTAAGTGGATGTGCTCCGGGTACTTCAGTTTCAAGCAGAACAGCATGAAGACCAGCTCAAGTGACGCAAACCCGAGCCCTAAATGCCATACATAAAAGCCGCCATGCTTGGGGTTTACCCGCAAAATTGCCGATGAAGAGGTATTGATGATCTGTCGGCGGGCCGACCATCGACATGAGGGTGATCAGGGCGTCACCCTCGCCGTGCAGCGGGCCCATCACCGTGATTGGTCCCTGAATTCAGGGGAAACTAGCTCATAAAAAGCGGCTTGCCTTCAAGTCCAACACTGTTGGCTCCATATTCACGATTGCCTTGACTTCTTTAAATATGTGATTCATCTGTATGGTATTAGAAGGGCTGCACTTCACACCCTACCACTTCCTTCTTGTAAACAATCTTGTATTTGTGGTTTGCTTGGTAGTTGGACATATAGTTCCAAATCGAACAGATGATTGGGGCTGAAACGAGGCTTTTGACTGTTGAACAACCACTTCTTGCCAAGATCCTGATCTGCGTAACTGAAGTTCTTGCAAGGCTCGATGATTATTGTTTGCTGTGCGTTGGCGGGCATCTATAACGGAGGTTATTGCCTCTTCCAAATCTTGCCAAGTTATTCAAACTCGGGGAGAAACAGACCTGGTCAATAGCTCACCCGGCCTGGCCAGCCGAAAAGGCGGCGGGTTCTAGCTGGGACTTACCTATTTCGCTTAAGCATATGCATGCATGGATATGCAAACTTTCTATGATATTTTATACAAGGCAATTTTCAGGTGTCTCCAGATCATGGCGCAGGGGCGAGAATTAGTGCTGAAGCCGTACGTGGACCTGGTTTCGGTGGGAAGCGGCCGCGAGATGACCAAGGAGACCCTCGACGATTTCAAGGACTTTGGCTGGCAGCCCCAGTTCGACATTCGCACGATGGACGAATCGATGCCGAGGCTCTTCGCGCTGCTGCCTTGCAAGGTATACTTTGATTTGGTACATGCATTTAATCTTTTTTTTTAGGTCAGCGAGACAACCGTTCAACTGGCTGAGCTGATCGAAGCAACTCTTCGGGATGCGGCTAAGAGCGATGTCGAGGTTTATTCCGTTTGACGTGCATATTATGGTGATTTAGATGGTCTCCGCTCGGCTTCTATTGACGGCCAAGAACTTGGTGCAACTCTTCGTCATCACTGCGAACCGACATCATAATGCCGCCATTTCCAGCGTTCCGCAACAGGCCGGTATGCTCACTTTATTTCGGATACAGGGATGGGATTAGCCGGCTCGTTTTTGACTGACAAACTTCTTTTAGCCGTGTTCTTCAACAACTGCTACTTCCTCGCCCATCGGCTGATCCTTCTACCATATAGCGTTGCTGCCAAAGAGATGTCTAAGAAGGTGAGAAGCTACCGTTTCTATAAGGGTACTATTTCGAACCGTTTTTTTTTTTTTTTTTTTTTGTGTTTGGGTGGGGGGTGAAGAAAAAATTTAAAAAGATATAAAAATAAAAAAAAATTTTTTTATTTAAAATTTTTTTTTTAAAAATTTTTTTTTATGAAAATTTTTTTGAGGGAAGAAGGAGGGGGAGGGGTAAGAGGAGGGGGTGGGGTGGGGGTTTTTTTTTTTTTTTTTTTATTTTGAGAAAAAAAAAAAAAAAAAATAAAATTTTGGGGGGGGGGGGGGGGGGGGGAGAAAAAATAAAAAAAAAAAAAAAAAAAAAAAAAAAAAAAAAAAAAAAAAAAAATAATCAAATGAAATGAATGACGCTGAATATTGGTTTATAAACAGATGTTTTTTTCAGCCGGACTTCGCCAGCTTGCTCTCGGAGAACATCCCTGCCCTGCGCTCACTGGCCGCCAACGCACTCGAGTCGATGCTGGCCCAATGCCGTCGCAATCTCAGCACCGAGTTGAACGATAAGACTTGTGGGTCTTTTATAGTTGGTTAGTATTGGGTTTTGGTTTTAGTGTTTACCTCATCGACCCCGACTGGCGACCACATGCGTGATAAACGCGCGACCGAGACGCTCGTCCGGTGCGTCGATCAGATTAATGCCGTGGCGGCTGCGATGCGGGATGTCCTCAGCGAGACTGTCTACGCAAAATCAATCGGAAATCTGGCCGGCTTCTTGCTGGGAGAAATCGGAAGCATTGTAAGTGCATTTTTCTGAGGACTGATTGGACATGCTGTTCTTTTGATGGCCCGAACATTATTTCTGTTTAGGTGCTCTCGATGGAAGACATTTGCGAATACGACGCCGACCACTCTGCCCTGGATATCGATAACGTCATCGAGAAGCTGACCCCGTTGTTCCAGGTGCGAATGCTGTCGTTTTTTAGTTATATGTTCATTTTTTAGAATGGGGATTACAACTCGATGCATAAGATGTGTTCCCAGTCGCTGTTCCGCGCCAAAGAGATTGCGTTCTGTCTGCGCGCCTCGTTGCAGGTAATAATTTGTTGGTTCTGGGCTTTGCTTTTAGGCTTCTAAGTGGACATAAAAAACAAAGTTGACGTCCACCCGCGCTAACAGCCCAGAAACGACCTGTACTTCTTTAGGGAATCGACGATCGTTGGTGTGAGGGAAAGGGCCCACTTGCCGACTTGTTGCGCCCGGCTGAGGTGCGTCGTCTGGTGAAGGCGCTCTTCGCCAACACCGAACAGCGCAGCCGACTGCTCACCAAGTTCGCCTAAATTATCTGCAACCTCATTCATTCCTAGCTACCGCATTGTGCCTCTATTAAAGTGCATTGTTAATCCGTAGTTGTGCGTACTCTGATCTCTTGTATAAGTGAATACTGTACACTTTTATGAATATTCCCGGTCGATTTTTTCTGCGCCCAATTCACCATGTAGCACGAGCAATGCTGGTTACTGTTTCCCTGATACCGGTGACGCCATTATTATGCCCATGAAAATAAAAGTTTTCGTTTCCGTTTCCGGATTATTTATTAGCGGCGTTTCGAAACAAATGTCGAGCCGTTTTTCGGATTACCCGAAAAGGCACTCCTGTTCCGATTTGATATTGTTCTGGAAAAGGCGTTGTATGGCAAAATCTGGAACCCCGGCAGTAAAGTGACCGGTGAAGAATGTCCTTCGGGAGGCCCAACAAATCGCAGGGGGAAGATGAGTGGGGGGTGTGGATGGGTGTATTGTGGAATGGAATGGTATGCGGGCATTGGTGGTCTTCCTTTTCTTTACTTTGAAGTGTCCTTGGCGCGATGGAAATACCTGATGATGACGGATGATCCTATGGCTTCTTGACTCACCCGATTCATCCCGCCATTTTGAGGTTGGATGAGGTGAACTGTAGGTCATCACGAAGGCGTTCAGGGGAATTTGAGAGCAACATTTTTTTGCTTTAAATTAGGTTAATGAATCAACTTTGTTTTAAACATTTCGCTGCTGCATTTCTAGCCTGGGCGCCCTTTGTATTATTCGTTTCAATCGGATTACTACAGGTATAAAGAGAGGCCGGTATAGTATTGTATGTTGACCCCGATCCATCGACGGTATAAAACGTATGTCCCGCTTTCTCACAAGCCCTTGCAAAAAGCTAAATCGCAGATTAAAAAGCGAAATGGGGTCAATCGCTTCATTTCAATCGATGTATAATCATCATCATCATCATTTTTTGTTGACGTAAGTGCATGTTTTTAGGAGTTTTTTTCAGTACTAAAATTATAAAAACTTTTAAAAATTGTAAAAATTTTAATAATAAAAAATAATGGTGTTTTCCCCGCTAACCCCCCCCCCCCGCTAACAGTCCAGTACCCCCGGTGTATACCCGTCTTCGTCGCCCCCAAAATAATTTTTTGCTAATGGGAAAAACGGGGAGGATGTGTGGATGGATGAGTCTATATTTGCCGTCTCATGCTCCTCCTCATCCTCCCGAACAAACGAGACGATCTCGAGCACGAGACTCCTGCTCACCCCTGTCCGGATCCGTTTCCAGGCCACCAGGGCAGTCGGACCAACACAAAATTCGAGGACCGGTCACAGTTCTGTTGATGTTTGGCGGCCTCGGGATGAAAAATTTCGGTTTTTGTGGTTTAACGGGGGGGGGGAAGGAATAATCGAAATTTCAACCTTTTTTATAGCGTTCCAGACAGGTTTTAGACTAACAAAATATTGTTTTTCGGGAAAATTTGAACTTTTTGGTCAAAACTGTATGTAGATGGACCATAAAAGGTCAAAAATTTCTTTTCTTCAACACATCAACGCACATTTAGGAAAATTTAAAGTAGAGGGAATTCAGCGATAAAATTTGGTGAAAAAGGACGATGGGTTCGAGGAGGATTCCAATCATAATCCTGGCAGCCAAATTCACAACAGCATCAATCCCGACAGGCCAGAATGCCGACAGGCAAAAAGCTCGACAGACAAAAATCCCGGTAGCCAAATTCCCGACGGGTCACAATCCGGACGGCGAAAATGCCGACAGATTTTAGGCAGTCATTTGAATACCACTTCGAATTAAACCGCTATTTCGGGTTTTGGCAGTCGGGATTTTTGCCTGTCGGGATTATGGGAGCCGAGATTATTGCTGTCGAAATTATAGATGTCGGGATTTGGCTTAATGGAATTTCGGCCCGTCGGCATTATGGCTGTCTGGATTTCAGTTTCGCCATCGAGTTCATGGCTGTCGGGATTATTTTTCGGCATTTTGGCTGTCGGCATTTCAGCCTTTTCCCCGTTCGCGAAACGGCCTGTGTGTTCCATATTACGAGGTTTTTTGGCCATTTGAAAGTGGGGGTAGGGGGGCTTAGGGAGGTTCCGCTAGGTGCCGGTACCCGATTGTTAAAAGGGTCGTTTTTCTTGAAAGGCGAGATTCATAACCCAAATTCAATCAGCCCGGTCAAGGCCAGCCGGCCGCGTATTCAAATAAACCCCCCCGCGTCTGTACTGATCACTTTTCTGAAGTGGATGGAAAAAGTGTAGTGGGGTTTAGAGAGTGCTCTTCTTCTTTTCTAAAGAAGCCGCGACTGACTGACTGACTGCTGGCTGACACATTGACCTTAACCTCTGCAGTTCAATTCAAGAAAGGGGGGTAATTTGTATGTGTTCGTAGGGCACCACCCCCCCCCCCCAATAAGCCCCGCCCCCTTTTGCTGAAATCCCCTGGCGATTCAGGACGATAGAGACGCACTCCACATCTCCGCCATCCCAAAATATGCCCCGACTACCGTATCCCGCCCCTGCTGTCAACTACCGTATTTTGATATGCCTCATCCTCTACAAGATGGCTCGTGCACAGTCGCCCAGCGTACTCGACAACGGCGTCAGCGGTCAGAGCTTTTTTGTGTCGTTTTTTTTGGTAGACAGAGAGAATTTGGAAATTTTGGGATTTTTCCTTTGGAATTAGGCAGGCTAGCAGAGAACTTTGCGGAAGGGAGCAGGCTAGCAGTGACATTTAGCCATTTTCTACTTTGGTGAGCCAAGCTAGCATAGGAATTTTGCGGAAAGGGCCTGGTAGAGAAACGTTAGAAATTTCTTTCGTTGTTTAGAAATTTAGATTCCTAAATTTAGATTCTTTCTCTTGATTTTGGTGAGCTAGCAAAGGAGCTTGAGGAAAAGCAGCTAACAGTAAAAATTGAAGATTTTATTGGGGGTCTTTTCCTTTTTGTATAGACAAACTAGCTGGGAAACTTTGCGGAAAGCTGGCCAGAAAAGACAATTTGGGAAGCTAAGTTACTGAGAGTCCCCTGTAACCCACCCCCGCTAATGAATCAGAACCCGCTTGGCTTGGGTTGCTTAGGTTGCTTAAGCTTCGGCCTAGTCTAGGTTTAGGCTTAAGCTTAGGCTTAGGTTCAGGCTTAGATTAAGACTTACGCTTAGGACCATCTCTGAGCCTAACTTCGATATTTTTAAAGGACCTTTGAAGTTAGTCTACCCCTCCCCATTTCCGCGCTAAAAAGTGTTCTAGTTCGTTGAATAGAAAGAAATGGGTGAGTCCCAATTGACCTTGCCCCTCTTGCTGAACCATTTCAAAAGGGGGGAGACGAAAAAACGGGTCGACGGGACGGGTGGCCCAAAACGGTCGAACGGCCCCCGTATTGTGCCGTACTTTTTTGTTGGGGGGAACGTTTTGCTGTGCTCTAGTTACCTGATTACCGGCAGCATTCAATAGCGTACCCCAGTTACCGTACCTCCGGTTCTTTGGCAATATCGGGGGGGGAGTTATACAGAAATTCATTGTTGTCGAAAAATGAAAAGCATTGTAATAAGTATTTTAATAGTGTGCAAAATTTTACTATATTTGAGGGGGAAAACTATATAACACTTCTAAAATATTAATTTTTCGTCAGAAAATCCGTATTTTTGTATTTTTTACGAAAAATTTCCAAAATGTTGCCCCAGCTACCGTACCCATTACAGGTCTACCGGAAGTGGAATGTATGGAGGACAGGGTGAAGCTGTTGTTCAACACCGCCCGCCCATTTACAGGCCGAATCTTTGTGAAGGGAATGGTGGACAAGGTGGGTGTCATTTGGTGTGTCGTGTACGCGGGAATACTTTAGACGGACTGTGTACGTCGCTTTGATACGAACACGAACAACTCGGTGGAATTTGACCTGCTGAATGGAGCGTGCAATATGCGGAGGCATCGAATGGTCCGTTTAGCTGGTTTTTAATTGTTTAAAGGGACGGGCAAGGCATCGATTACTGCCAGAGTCTCCCAATTTGATAATGCCGAAATTTTGATAATATCTAAATTTATCGAAATATCGAAAATATAATTTATTAAGGCCGAAATTTCATAATGCCGAAATTCAGAAGGTCGAAATATCCCGGTTTTTACCATGGACGAATTTCTCTAAAAATCTAAAAATCCATCAAGTACTATGCAAAAAGGTGCTTTTGCATTATCGGGGAGGGGGATTTTTTTCGAGGAACCAGCTTTCTAATTTGCAATTTAAAAAATAAAAATAGAGGTAAAATAAAAATAACTACGGATTTTTGTTACAAAATATTGATTTTTCGATTAGATTTTTAACATTTTTGAAGGCTAATAAATAGATTTTTACTTGAAATATAGTTAAATTTCACTCAAAAACTATTACAATATCTACTATTTAGTCGTTAGGCATTTCTGGACTTATACAAAGAAATTCGGAAACCCCCTGATAATGCCAAAGTACCGCAAAATTTTCGGCATTATGAATTTCGCTGTCATTGAATAAATACATCGCGTAATCAATTGCAGATCCAACCGGACAAGCGTGGAATGGAACAATCAATCACGGTCATCATCTCCTTCCATCCCACATTCATCACAAAGGTCGATAAGGCATTCAGATGCACCTGTTTCTACATGGAAGCCGACAAAGTGGTCACTAGCCGTTTTGACGTCAGGTTGGCCGTGGTCATCTTTTAATGGGCAAGTCTTTACAGTATGCTACCCACAACAGATCTCATCGATACGGCCCGAATGCCATTATGTACGTATACCGTACGCCGTGATTCTATTGACGGGCCAGTGGTACAGTATGCTACTGTGGGAGAGACGGTGTATCATGTATGGCAGTGTGAAAGTGGTAGGGACTCATTTCCGAGCGTAATCGATTAGACACGAATTTTATAGCGTAATCGATTGGTTGGGCAAGGGTGGATTTTCATGGCGTAATCTATTAGACTATTTTAATCGCGTAATCGTTTAGCCACGAATTTCCTAGCGTAATCGAATAGACCTGAATTTCCTGGCGTAATAAATTAGGGATAAATCCATAGCTTAATCTATGTTCACACTAGGGTAATCGGACCGACACGAATTTCCTGGAGTAATCGATTATACCTGAATTTCCTAGCATAGCGAATTAGCTGCGAATCTCCTAGGAATCAATTAGCGCTGAATTTCTTAATTTATTTGATAATTCCTTTTCATGGCGTAATTATCTATCGATTATCATGATTATACAACAAATTAAATCGTAATCGGTTGCAGATATGTTCTCAATGCTTGTCCATTCTTGTTTTGTTGACGATGGAAACGGCCAAGACCGGAAACCGATTCTGGATGAGAGAGGGTATATCCTAAACAGTCCCCCCATCTACAGTATCCCTTTCCATTCTCAGATGTACCCTTGATGATGTGATCGTCCCGGAATTGACGTACAACTCCAAGAATAATTTGGCATACGCGCCCGTTTCGGTCTTTAAATTTGCCGACAAGGTACGTGCAAGGGCTTCGAGGTGAAATTCGGATTTTTCCGTATTTACTAGCCTAATCGATTGGCGACAAAAAAATACAATAAAAACGAAGAACGAAATCTCTTTTTTTAATCAGAATTTCTAAACTTTTTGCCTTTAGGGCAAAAGAAAATTTTTAGAGACAATTTCACTATTTATATTCGTAAAATTGGATCCGAAAAACAGCCCCCCGTTAATGGAAAAGCACCTGGGTTGGAGATAAATTTCTGACGTAATCGATTGGCGTTGAATTTCCTATAATACTAAATTTTTCTAAATTTTCTAGCGTAATCGACCATGGCTAATTTTAATATCATAATCGATCTCCCTTAACATGAAAAATGTCTTGATTTTCAGGTGACAACCTATTTCCAATGTGCCGTCAGTACTTGTATGCTATCGGAGGGGATGTGCGAAGGGAAAACGGTACATTTTCTCATACCATTTTCGTAGTATTCCGTGCTCAGTAGTTTGTGGTTGAACATTAGTACAAATCCCCCATTGTCATATGCAAATAGCGCCCATTTTGGCCAAGATTTGCGTGCCCTAAAAAGTGCCCGATTTTCAGCCGCCAGCCTGCGGGGCGCAGCGGCCCGCGTTGCGTCTGGTGCGTTCGGTGGATGAGGTGATGAATCGGACGCGGTCGAAACAGGTACGAAGCAGGGTCGAGATGTTTTAATTTTCATGGAATTAAATTATTGAATATAAGAATAGTAATTAAGCATAAAATAGCAAAAAATTTAATACGTAAAAATAATTGTTTAAGTTTAATAAAAAATATAGAATTTACACACTAGAACCAGGTACGAGTAATGGTTATAAATTTTTAATTTTTACTTAGTTAAATTATTTATAAAATAATCGTATTTAAGCGTTTGGACCAAAAAAATATAATTTTAGCATCATTAACCTATTTTATGACCATATCAAGATTGTAATTAGATACCCTTAATTTTTTAATTATTTAAAGGGATGGTGACACGGGAGAACGGAAAATTCCTCTACACTCCTCTTTTCAGGTGCATTTGGATGGGAATACGATGGATTTGGCCGCGCAAAAGATCATGGTGTTGGATATGGATGAGGAGGGTGGAGAAGAGAGAGTAGAGAGAGCAGAGAAACACACAACAACAGCACGACATTTTGATGGGCACCTAGCAAAGGTATTTTTTGTATTAAAATGTTGAAAAATCGCCACGCTGTGACGCGGGGCTCGACGCGTTGAGTGCGCTGTTCTGTAGGGAATCCATAAAAGCTACTTATCGCGCCCTTTAAAGGGATGGGCCTGGCAAAATTACTTAGACTTCCCTGTCCCTTTAAACTCAATTTTCAGATGGTCGTGGTGGGAACAGCTACCGTATGCCTTTCCCCTCAATTGACAGCCCTATGGACGGCATTCTCCCTATTCTGCCTATTCCTCTGCCTCATCCTTGCGTATATTGTATTCCAACGGAGGCGGGGGTCGAAAAATCTCAACTAAAGCAAGCTAAAGCCTAGATTATGCCTAAGCCCAAGCTCAACCTAATGCTAAAACCCATCCCTAACTTGTTTCCTCAAGAATCTCTGCTATATCTCCCCTTTGGCTTATTGCCAATCTTCCCAATCCCCCGACTTGCTTGTCCCTTTAAAATGTGATATTTGGTCCATTCCCAATGCTCATTCTGTTCATTTTCTCTAATTCTCTCCATTCAGCTCGTTCTCTCGCTTGCTTGGCCCCTTATTTGACGTGTACACAGTAGAATATATGTTCTCTCTCGATGCGTGTGTTTTGCTCTTCTTTTTAAGGGGGTGCTGTAGGTTTCCACAAATGATCACTGCTTGCTTACTTAAAAAACCGGAAGCTGCTAATCGAAAAATTTTCGAATTCCGCAAACGATCTTTGCTAGCCTCTGACTAGTGAGCAACAAGAAAAAGTAAAATAGATGAAAATACAGTACCCTATTTGGTATTTTTGCTTTATCTATTTAAATTATCATTCCATTCTTATGTTTTGGCAATAAAACGTTGACTTGATCGAGGGAAGATACCCTTGCCTACACGGCTGTTTCCCCTTCTCGAAAAACACGACAAATTACTCGACGCCTCGTGCTGCCCTATTGTCTGCTGGAAATATTGGGCTTCCTGGATTGATCAAAAGACAAAACTTGGCTTCAGTAGCCCTTAAAAAACAAAAGGTAAGCTCGGCTGGTTCTACGCTCGCCACGAATACACCTGAGGATTGGCGGTGCGGTACGAGAGGGCAAGTAATTTCGTCAATGCTCAAGACCGATGGGAGGGGCCAGCCCCCTTTTGTACCCCGGCCAGTGGGAGTGGGCCAGGTGACGCGCGTTTCGGGGGCTGAGCGGGAGCAGCGTTGTAACGAGCTTGATTTTTAGGCTTTCAGGTTCAAGCTTCATCCGATATGTATTATAAACTTGTTATGCAATTACGAATCATAATTTTCACGGCCCAAAATGGGCTATGAGTTTGTGAATAAATTAGAAGCGCTATTATGACCGCAAACCCTCAGTTTAATAAATCCTAACCTACATAATAATTAATTAAGCGTCCCGTCCCGTTTTACAAATTTTATTTTTTTTCGCAATTTCCGGCGATAGCTGGGAGCTAAGCCTAAGCCTGAGCCTAACCCTAGCCTAAGTATTTCGGGCCTTCTTGCTTGGCACAAAGTCAGCTCTACGTAATTTTTTTGACGGTTTCTTATTTTTGGAATTCTTGATGTAAACCCATTTTCCAGTGTTCGACACCCGGGGGGGTTTGTGTAACCCCCGGTGACGGGTGTACCCATAAATGGGCGTAGATTTATCGTTTTGAAGGGGTTGGCAGTGGGTGGGTGGATACTGGATAGGAGGATACACTGCTGAGGGTGTCGCGATTCCGGCGCTCCTTCTAAAAGAACCCTAATTGGACGTCTAACAATACATTTCCGGTGGTTGGTAGAGGAGAGAGAGAGAGCGAGAGAGAGAGAGAGAGATGCGTCCAAGAGGGGGCGGGACCCCCGAATTCTTGCCCCCCGTCCCTCCCTTGGCCATCCCTTCGAAAAGCCCCTGTGGCCCATGGTGGAGACCATCGAAAGGAAATTGTTTATGTTTCTTGCCAGGCGAGACTCTTCTTATTTCTTCCCCTTCCCCTCCATGGCCAGATTAGCTTCCTGGAATTACTACCACTACTCATTCCGCGAATATTTCTAAAAATTTCGGAAATTGCGGGGTTTTTGAAAGTTTTTTTCTCGATATATCTTCTTCTTCTATTTCTCGCTTCCTTTACCATTTTATCTCTCCCCGGCGATAGATCGTTCTTTCTCTCTCTGTATTTCTCTTGCTCTCTCCCTCTTTCTCTCTCTCGTCATTTCTCTAGCTTTAAGACCTTACCACTAACTCTGAAGCTCCATGTCGATACATCAATACATTTAATTGTTTCTCTCGCTCCCTCTCACCCTCCGTCTTTCTCTCTCTCTCTCTCTCTCTCTCTCTCTCCGTCACGTATCTCTGGCCTCATACCTAGCCACCCCCCTTTATCTCCCTTCTCTGCAGCTTACTCTCATTCCTTTCCTCGTGCTCTCACTATCTCTCTCTCTTTCCCTCTCCATCTCCAACTTTCCAGCCCTCTCTCCCCTCCAAAAAATGCGAAGAAAATGATGGTCTTCGCCAGTCTGCTCGCCATCTTCGTCCCACAGACTTTCGGATTACGGTAGGACCGGATGCACCCTAAATTGATGTCCCGCCATCGCTACGTTAAGCACCTAGGATGCCCACTAAAAAGAAGTGGAAAAATGGATTTTGGGGGGTGTTGTGGAAGGGGGAGGTGAGGGGGGAGGAAATGGGATAATCCGGGGAATCCCCGTTTTGGGCCCACACTAATCTGCTCAGTGGCTCAAGTATGTCTTTCTTTCTCTCTCTCTCTTTCTATCTCTCTCTCCTTCTCTCTCTACACTCAAAAAGTCAGCTTCACAGAAGAGGGCTACTTTTTTTTATAAAGGTTGGGGGGGGTTGAAAAGGTGAAGGCGGGGGGGGGGGGACCCCAAAAGTTGGGGGGGTCGGGGGGTTTTAAGGGGGTTTGGCGGGTTGGGGGGTTTTTTAACAAACTCGAAGAAGCTCCAAATTCCCCCAGAATCTCTGCTAGCTTGCCAGCAATCCATCAATGCATTAATGACAATACCGTCCGCCAAGTTTCCTAAACGCTCTTTGCTAGCCTGCCCCTCCAATGACTCCGATTTTTACGAAATTCCAGTATCTACCGCGGTGCCCCCATTTCTGTTGAGTGGTTCTAGATGGAGGTTGTTGAAATAGACGAGCAGAAGAATCCGATTCTGAATCCCCAGGTGGCAGAGAGAGAGAGAGAGAGAGAGTGAGAGAGAGAGAGAGCGCGAGAGAGAGAGGGGGGAGGAAGAGCTTCTCCTTCTCATCCTCCTCGAGCTCTTCCCTAAGAATTTGGACTGGCCCGGGATTCGATGCGAATCCGGTTACAAGTGCCAACTGGGGGGATTGGCCTTTTCTTCCACAAGTTGCCAGCGGGGTTGGGGTGAAATTAAAGGGATTGGCAAGAGGGAGGCGACTTTTTGGCGTAAACACAGCGAAAATTCGGCTAGCTAGGAAAGATCATCTAAAAACCCGGTCTGGACGCATTAATGGCCACAAAAATACCGGCAAGCTAGCAAATACCATTCGAGAACCGGTTATGCCATGAAAATCCCCCGCTGTGCCGCGGCAATAAATCGTGAAGCCGGGTCGCCCGCCAAAGTTTTTCCGGAGGAAATGGGCCACGTAGAGGGGGAGACACGAGTCGATTGCAAACAGATGCCAACAAAAATCGGACCCCCACCCCCTCGATCGTTCGGAGGAGTGTCACGGAGTTATTGAGAGGGAATAACGGCTAAATTTCGGCTCGGGATTTCGAAATTAATGAAAATGATAAAACAGAATAAAACAAAACGATATTTTTCAAAAATTAGTGCAAAAATACTTTTAAAAATGCGATAAAATATCAAAATTGAAAATATGTCTTAAATCATAGCAACATATTTTCAGATGCTTTTCCTGCGCCTCTGTCGAATATCAGACACTTTTCGAGCGCAATCCGGCACTCGCGAATTCTGTTATGTAAGTTGGAATCTAACGGAAAGGACGAAAATTTACGATTTAAATTAATTCAAAAATAAACTTAATTTTACTAACAATTAAAAAACTACAAATTTAGGGTGCCAAAATTCGCGGAATACTGTGACAGCGAGGCGGGCGTTCAGCAATTGGCTCCGTACGAGAATTGCCGATCGGCCTGTGTTACGGTATTTGAGCCGCATTATATTGGAGGTAGGTTGGCATCGTCCCTTTAAACATATAAGCCAAGCCTAAGCCAAGCCTACGCTAAGCCTAAAACAAAGCCAAGCCTAAGCTTTGCCTACACAAGCCTACGCTAAGGCTAAAACAAAGCCAAGCCTAATTTTGCCTAGACCTAAGCCAAGCCAAGCCTGCGCCCAGCCTAAGCCCAATCCTAAGCCAAGCCCAAGCTAAACCTTAGCAACCACTTCCTTTTCACCAAAAAAAACAATACTGCAAAAAGCAAAAAGTTTCGTTCGGCCGGGGGTCGAACCCGGGCCCCAAATTTGCTAGGCAAAGCCACCCCGACTCGGCTATCAAAATTTTCAATTGACCCGTTTTAAAATATTAATTTCAACTTTAAAAATTCAATTTCCAGGCCTCCAAGTCCCATACCGACCTCACGTTTTTATACGTGGATGTGCAGACAAGGTACATTCCATTAAACTCGAATTTACAGTCCCTGTTTTGAGGTGTTCTCTGCAATGGAACATCGACCTGTTGAAGTAGATGTACTGCATCAAGACTCGATATGTGTTTCTCTGAAAATGTCTCTCATCTATCCGCACGTCACCGCAAATGAAATCGTTCAGGTGAGAGGGGCTGAGCAGGGATTATTGGGGACAACTGATGAGCAGAACTAGCAGAAATTCTTGGGGAATAGGAGAGGGAAGCTAGCAGAGTCGCCTACGGACATTGAGCTGGAGCCGCTAGCGGAGAGTGAGTGAAAAATTGAGCATGAGAGAGCTAGCAGAGATTCCTAGGGAAAGCCGGTCTGGGGGCAGCTAGCAAAGATTACTGAGGAAGTCTACCACTGGAGCTAGCAGAGATTCTTAGGGTTTTGAGCTAGGCCAGCTAGCAGGGGAGTCTGAGCTAGCAGTCTTGAGGAGGGATGGGGGAGCTAGCAGAGAATCTTGGGGAAATCCTTCGCGGGCAGCTAGCAGAGATTCTTAGAGATCAGTATCGTGGCGAGCTAGCAGAGATTCCTGGGGAAATTGCGCTAGGGAGAGCTAGCAAAGACCATTTGGCAATTGAAGGGCGATCTAGCGGAAATTTTTGAGGAATTCATCGTTTCAGGTATGTTCCTGCGTGGAGGATCGCTGCAATTTCGGGACGGCAACCGGAGCGAATTCCGCGCACGCAATCTCAGCGCCCGCTTTTGGGCCAATTTCCATCTTTTTCTCGCTTGCCATTTGGTGCCGGTAGTTGCCAAAAAACTAATTAAAATGTTTAAAATGTGATTTAATCTAAACAAATTTTAACATTGCCCAAAAATTTTGAACCCCGAATTCCAATCCAATTTAAACCTTGAAAATAACATTTTAATTCACAATATTTTTTTAAAATGGTCTTGTATTATTTAAATTGTTTTATTAGCATTTAAATTGCTGAAAATTATTCTAAATTTAATCTAAGTAATTTTAAATAATATTAAATCAATTGTTAGAATTTTTGCTGGCATTTAAATTTATCAAATTTAGTTGAAAAGGAGCCCGGTACCCATGCCTTGTTGCTCTTTTCTCTTCCCCTCTTCTCCTCCTCCTCGTATTCAAATCAGCTCAATGTCTCCAGTCTATGCAAATTTATGCAAATTTATTCTCAAATTCCATTTTTGCAAATAAATCGTAATACGGTGGATTTTGTACGTTGGGGTTACGGTACCGGGGTGTACGGTAAGAAGGGGAAAATGTAAATGCTTAAAAACCCGCTTGCAGCATTAAGTGTACGGTAGGAAGAGGGCGAAGAGAACAGAGAACATTTGCGGGGGGCCGACGATGTTTTAAAGGAGTTGTGAAGTCAGAAGTCGGCTATGGATTTTGCCTTCCACGGCCCTTTAAATGTCGGGGAGCATGAACCGGGGTTTGGGGGATGGCTGTGGAGTGCTGGGAGCTGAGACTCGAACCGGAGGGACCGACAGCTGGATCAGGCCCTTTTCCTGGAAACTGGAGTTTTAAAGGGATCGGCAAGGGATGGATTTCTATGGAGAGAGAGAGAGAGAGAGAGATATATAGTGAGAACTAGTGAGAGCGAGCGTGCTTTGGATAGACGGACTGAGAGCGAGAGCGAGAGTGAGAGAGTGGGGGGGGGAGGTACGATGGGCCTGAGAGGGGGGGGGGGGGGGGGGGGGGGAGGGCCTAGCGGAGAGAGAGAGAAAGAGTGAGATAGCGAGGGTGAGAAAGCTAGTGAGAAGGAGAGAGAGAGAGAGAGAGAGAGAAACACAGCTAATAACTGACCGATTGCAGCGATCCCCTCTTCTCTTGTTGTCGAGAGTTCTTCCTCCTCATCACCTCACTTTTCTGTAGTTTATAGTTGATCACCCGTAATGCAAGAAGAGCATTCTCATTCTCAGGATTTAAGAGTCGTTGCAGACTATTCGAGGAGTGAGACTTTTCCATGATTCTCCCCTGCATGGGCAGTGATTGGGCAAAATTGAGGGATTGGCCCTGAAAAGGAGATTCCATAAAGAACGCTGTCAGTATCCCTTCACAGTCCTTTCAAAACAATCAAAGCTCACGCTATGGACAGTGAGCTGAGCATTGAGGGCACTGGCCTCGGAGCGTCGACGAGAGAGGAGCACGAGGGGAGGGATACCTTTTGGTAGGGAGGTTCTGGAATGCGGAGATTTTAGAGGGCCAAGCTCAAGCTAAGCTTTCAGCTGGACTTCAGCTTAGTTGAGCGGAAGCTGAGATAAGCCTAAGCCTAAGCCAAGCCAAGCCAGACACCTTTTCCGACTTACACAGTCAATTGATGCTCCGGATGTCCTTCCATTAATGGCGACGTGTCACCGTCGATGCTCTGAAAATTGTGGCTGGCTAGCAGAGATTATTTGGGGATAGACGGGCCTAAAAGACCAGGGCTAGCTAGCAGACACCATTTGCCATTACCGTACCTCCGTCTCAGCCGTCGCCGCCTCGAGAATCTCGTCCAAATCCTTCAGGACGTGTCGGAGTTTGGCCGGCTCGACCTGAAAAAGTATAGATCAAAAATTAGAAATTTTATTATACCGAAAAATGTTCAGCAACAATATGGACCAATTCTCCAACTCGCATCGCCCTCCCACCAAACCAAATTTCGACCGCCTGCGAGCCGGAGATTCCATTTCTGCAAGAAAATCTCTCGAAAAGCTAATCTTTCCCTCTTGGCCAAAAAGCAAAATGTTTGTCGCGGGTGGGGGTCGAACCCGCGAGGGTTGGACCGGCAGCCCGGAGTGTTAGCAGTGCACTATATGTGCAATTCCGAGAGGAGGCGTTTTTTCCTTACCTTCCTAGATTGTGCATCCTCTGAAATAACCCCTGCATTGAGCCGACAACCATCGTCACGATGATCACACCTAATTTTTCTTGTATATTAGGGTTTTTAAAGGGACTAGGAAGCCTCAAAATTGACCCCTAGTGTTGACTAGGTCTCGACAGCCGGAAAAGCTTAAAAATACGAAAATTCGTAGGCATATTTTATCGTATTTTGGCGTAATGAGGAGTTGTCGATGCCTAGTCGGAAAAACGGTTGATTTTCAGGTCCCCAGCCCCCTTTAAATTACAATAAATTTAACGATACCAATGGCCAGATAGAGCATCGTTACGTAGAATTCCCATCGACGGTCGGTGGCCGGAATCTCGTCCCCGTAGCCAATTGTCGTGATCGAGATGAAGCTAGAAACACGTGGACTTTTAGTGTTTGCCGAATTTTTGTGCATAATCCCGACAGCCAAAATGCCGACAGCGATAATACCGAAAGCAAAAATCCCGACACGCCAAATACCTGTTCAAAAATTCGACCTGTCGATATTTTAGCTTGTCGGTATTTTGGTCTGTCGGTATTGTGGCTCTCGGTATTTTTGTTATCGAGATATTGGCCTGTCGATATTTTGACCGTCGACATTTTGGCTGTCGGCATCTTGACCTCTGGAGGATTTTTCGTGTCGGTATTTCCGATTTTGCCCACTGATATCAACTCACGTCAAATAGAACGATTCGAAGAATGATTTGTGATCCACCCATAAACTGTACAACAGGGCGCCCAGACAAATGTGCAACAACAGCAGCCCGTAGCTGATCACCAGCGGCATCTCACCGCCGTAGATTTCGCCCTGTTAAAAAATGATTTTATCACGATTTTTTTGAAAATTCTGACCGACTTCCGCTTCCAGCTTTGGTAATGTTATTTTGTCGAAAAAGCGGCATTTCCCAAATGCAAGTTTTCGAAGTCTTGTGGAAATTTTTTAATCGCCATAAAAAACTGTTGCTCGCAAAAACTTTGGATTATTGGTAGTACGGTAGGTTTTTACCCCAGGAGGCCCTGGTTCGACCCCCGTCCGCGGCCAAATTTTTTGCTTTTTGCCGCAAAACTGGACCTTAGCAATCCCTTTGAATTCTCTGGACGTACCTTTTTCTTGGTGGCATAGCTCTTTTTGAGAATCCAGTAGAGATCGACGAGGAATTGGCCGTTATTCCCCAGCACAACATATGTCAATGGGGTACCTAAAGGGGCTGGTGTCACTTAAGCCAAGCCTAAGTCTAAGCCAAGTCTAAGCCAACACTAAACCCCCACTCACCAATCATTATATACAATATGATGAAGCATTTTCCGTAGTAGGTGGCCGGCACGATGTTGCCCCAGCCTGAAAAAGGCTTTTAATGCTGTTTTAATCTTTTTATTTTTAGGACCTTGAACTTTCAGAAAAAAATTTAAAGGGAAGTGCAAGACAAGGTTATGGATTTTTCGGTCCCCGCGTACGGGAAAAATGCAAAAATCACGACAGCGATAGTCTGGACAGCCAAAATGCCGCCAAAACATCGTGTTTCGACAAAAAAATCCTATTTTCGACAAAAAAAAAATTGGAATTTTTAGGTTTTTAGGTAGTTAAGCTTTAAAAATAGCTAAGTTCGGCTAAAAACATCATTAAAATACGTAGCCCTACATTACTATGATAACTATTACCCCCCCGGATATTGAAAAAGCACCTAAAATATAGAAGCTCCTAAGAAACCCTTCCAGCCAATTTTTCCGGCAAATAAAATTCTAAAAATCGGCCAAGCACCCACCAATAGTTGAAGTGGTGATGAAGCAAAATAATGCCGATTCGTGTAGACTCTTATACCGCAGTTTCGGCTCGATTTGATGGAGAACAACGGCCCCAATATACCAATAGATGATGAGTACGACGTTTAGAAGGATGTGTGGCACTGAGGAGATGAAGAACTATAAAAGGGATACGGTAGGAGGGGCACGAAATATCTAGAAACTGACCTCCTTGTGGATCTCCTCTTTTGTGCAGCAGCGATCTTCCAGGAATTGCTCCCTCCAAACCTAAAATTGCGCAATATACCTCTCTCTCGTTCTCTCTCACTCTCTCTCACTCCCTCTCTCCCCTCTCTCTGTCTGTCTCTCTCTCTCTCTCTCTCTCTCGCTCCCTCTCTCCCCTCTCTCTGTGTGTCTCTCTCTCGTTCTAAAACAATCGCGGTACAGCTGCCCTTGACTATTGGCCAAGAATCAACAGTCTCAGTACGGTAGCGTTATTAGGTGTACCTCGTAGGGCTTTGCGGCGAGTTTGCCGGGCCGATTGCTCATCCGCTTGCCCGTCTCCTCTCTGGTGGTCGGCGGCGAAGGCGAAGACGTCGAATTGTGCCTGAAAAAATGCGATAGAGAGCGAGAGAGAGAGGCAGAGAGAGAGAGACAGAGAGACAGAGACAGAGAGAGTGAGAGAGCGAGAGCGAGAGAGAGACCATTGCGGCGCGTCTGCGTTGCAATTTTCTGACGCAGCTTCGCGGTTCGGTTTGGCCGCAACGCACCGGTTTCCGCGTTGCGGCCGCGCTACCGGCATTCGTTTGCAACCAATTTTAATGTCGACATCTTTTTACTAGCATTTTGAAGAATCTTACGCGTGGAAACGCCTTTAAAATGAAAACATGCCGATCTGTGTGTCTATTACGAGAGATGATACAAGTCCCCGTCACCCAGGATCATTTTTGCAAGGTCAAAAAGTATCCCGGTTGAATTGAGGCAGATTCGTAGGTACAGCACAGCCAGCGACCGAAAGGATTGGCGAACCTGGGCGGCGGCGAAGGGAAAGGGGGGGCACGGTCGGGTCACGGAGGAAAGGGGGCGGGCTGGGGGCCGAAGGGGGAAAAGCAGTAAAAGTTAGAAATAATAAAAACCTTAAAACTCACAACAGAAAAGAACAAAACCGGAAGAAAAACGGCAATCACCAAAACCCTGAAAAAGGCCCATCCGACAACAATTACGTGGTGCCAACGGGAGGGACCCAAAATAGACAAACAAAAAGCAGTTTAACAACCAATCCAGAGGTAAATCACGGAAAACCAAAACGGACAGGAAAAATACGCAAAAAAAAAAAAAAAAAGTTAACACTACTGAGAATTATAAGCTCAAATTATGCAAACGAGATATACAACGTACGTCGCACGTCATTGACATGTCGTAGCCGGCCTTCGCCCTGAGCTCTTGTTTACTGTATGGGGTGTGACAGCAGGCAAAAAAAAACAACACAGATTCCATAGCAATACTAAATCGGCAGCCACGGGGTGATGTAGCCATTGACTGGCGTGTGTGTCTGTCTGTCTGTGTGTACGATCATTTCCGGACTCGTCAACACATTCATTCTCTCTCTCTCTCTCTCTCTCTCTCTCTCTCTCTTCCAATTCCACCATCATCCCCCCTGTCACAATCGATCAGTGCCATTTTCTCACCCGGCTCAATCCCCCCAATCCAGACCGTCCAGCCGGGGCTATATGACAATGACATCGCTATTTTTAGAGCCCTCCGAGCAGCACACACCAAATAAACAGCTTTTAAAGGGTCATGGAAGTATGGCTATTGTGCATTATCGGGGAGGATTTTTCTACAAGCCCAAAAATGCCTCGTAACTCATAATAAATATTTTAATAGTAGTTTCAGCCAAATTAACTAAATCTTAAGCGCAAAAGTTATCAAAAAAACTTTAAAGCACGCTTAAAAATCGCGATTTTTGTCGAAAATCGCCATTTTCGGCTAAAAAATCCATATTTTCGATTTTTAAAGCTAAATTTGTTTAGTTTTTAACTTTTAAGAATAGTAAAAAACAGTAAAGAAATTGGATACTAACGGAAAAAGTTAGTCCTCACCCCCCCCGATAATGCGAAAGCACATTTTTTTGGAACAGATTTTCGAGCATTTCCTGCTTTTTCAATGTTTTTAATGTTTCAAATTCAATCGAAACACAAAAAGTGAGCAAAGTGAATTTGTGCAAATTTAGAGCCTTCTAAAAAGTGACGTTTTCATGTTTTAGGATTACACAGAGACAGGGGGCCGGCCTCCCGGCGGGGGGGGACCGGGGCGCCCCGGGGGGTTTGGCGGGGGGGCGCCGGCCGGCCGCCCCCGGCGGCCGGCGGCGGCGGCCGGGGGGGGGCCCGGCGGCCGGCGGGCGGGGGGGCCGGTTTTCGCGGCCGCCCGGCGGCGAAAGGGGCGCCCCCCCCTATTTGAGTGAAGGAGAAAAATGGAAGGGGAGGGGGTTGATGCTCTCTCAAAAGAGGAGGTCGTAAAAGTAATGGAGCCTCTCGTTCTCCCCCCTTTCCATCCGGATCTCCTTTCTAAAGGAAAAGACCATACACAACACTGTTTCCCATTTTCGATTTTTGATTTTGGGATGGTAAATTGGTTTTTGGGGGTTTGGTTAGGGTGGCTAAGCCTAAGCCTAAGGAATAGCAGGGAAAAAGAGTCGAACCCGGGTCATTTGGGTCGAAAATGGGGCCGAAACCATTTAGCCACACTTCCAACTAAGGTCATTGCACAAAATTTTGCCTGATTTGTCTGGTAAAATACCAAAAAGACCCGAAAACCGTGAATTTAAGCATTAATGAGAAATCATGAGAAAAATTAGACGAAAAGCTGCGGAGGATCGATTTGGTGCACCGGATGCGAATGATTCGGCCACCCGTTTTCCGTGCAGCTCCTCGAGACGGATGGTAGGGGAAAGGGGAGAGGATTGTACCTTCAACCCATCCACACCCCATCAAATAGATTATTTTTGGGCCACCCTGGGAAAAGGAAGTGCAGCGAAGGGAGGAGAAGAGAGAGAGAGAAGAGGAGAGAGAGAGAGAGAGAGAGAGAGAGAGAGAGAGAGAGAGAGAGAGAGAGAGCGAATTGTACCCAGATTGTACCCATATTCCGGTAAGAGCACACAATAATTTAACGTTTATTACAAGAAAAATATTAAAAGTATGCTCAAAGTCCATGTCAGCAAGCGACGGTCTCTGTCCGTTTCCCACGAACCGATTCGACGGCAGTGGCGACCGAGGTGGATGATGGCTAAAAACTTGTTTCTGAAAATAGAAGAAACTTACATTTTTAATCGCGCGATTGATGGCATCCATCGAATCGGTCAGGAAGGGGATCCTGGAGCAAATGTTGGATTCTTGCAAGTTCCTCCTTACTTCAAATATTCCCTGATCCAGAGCGCCTCAACCGGATCGTTGCTGGTCCAGGCGACCACCTGGAGTCCATGGTATCGAGCGTGATAGACGAGGAGCCTCAATTAATCAATTATATTGAAAACGAGAAGCGCTTACTGTGAGAGATCATGATGGTTGACCAACACCATTTCGACGCCCAAAAACACGGGCAAGAAGAAGTGCGAGGTCAGTTGGTGGTTCAACTGAAATGGCACACTTTCGGAGCTAACAGGATTCCAAACCTCATCAAACAACTCGAAAACAGCATTCAGGAACGAGTTGTACTTCGAGGACAAATCGCACTAAACATCAAGGTGGCCCTGCGACAGTTATTATACCTCTCCCTTCGTCGAATTGCAGAAACGTCGCCAAGTATAACCTAAAATCGAATATTAGCTAAAAAGATTCGATTACCCGTCAGTATTTTCTGGTCCCGGCGCTTGATGAAGTAGGGAACCAGCGGGTTGAAGCTGCTCACAATGGCCACTTCATAGAGCGAGTACTTTGAGAAAAGAAGGGCGATGGTTTGGATCACCTAAAAACCCAGGCATCAGCCTCCAGCCGCACGAATCCTACATTCTCGTCAAAATGCTTCACATCAAAGAGCATCTTGATCGATTTGCTCTTGCACAGCTCTACGGTCTCAGCAAGCGTCGGCACCGTTCCTTTGTACTCCACGGCTCCCCCACTAAACGACAAAATTCTTGTTAGTTTCATCCAGCTACCCATGCGGGATGAATTTCAGCTTCAACTCCTTCAACTCGTTCAGTGTTCTTTCACAAACCACCCATCCTTTGTCGGTGGTTCTAAATGTCATATTGAGGAATCGAGTAAATACGGACCTATCCGTCGTTTCGTCGTGCATTATCACTAGAATCCCATCCTTCGTCACTTCGATGTCAAATTCGACGAGTTGGCAGCCTTCATCTTTACACTAAGGATCCAGAGCTAGGAGGTCCATACAAAAATGTACCTTGAGAAAAGCTTCGATGCTATTCTCCGGCTCTTTCCATGGAGACCCACGATGTCCGCCCACCATAAAATCGGCGAAAAAGGCCATGGCCTAAATTGATGTTATGAACAGAAGCACTGATGTATCACCTGCTCACGCGGACATTGTTTGTTTCTCAGCAAAAAATAAAGACCAGTCAGTAGTAGCGGCGAGAGTAAGAAAATAGAAGTGTAGGAATACAAGTAGAGAGCCCGGGCATTCAAGATTCCTGAAACAACTCAACATAGATCTTTTCGACAACCCTCACCAGAAAATAGAAGTAAAACCGCCCAGGTCGAGTGCATCTTGCTAAAATCAAGTGTGGGCCTACAATCCCAGTGCATTTCAATAATTCAATGTGAGCTCAGATGCAATTTCGGAAAGACTTTATTGAGCCTCACGAGAGAAACAAGAAAGCGCAGAAAAAAAACAATTTAAAGCATCGCGCAAACGAAATCACAGTTTTCAGCAAAGTATTCAACGTAAAAAAAATTTTAAATAAAACGAGAGCTTGAGGTAGCTTTAGTCGAGATAAATGAATGTATTGATGTCGACGGGGCAACGTTCAATGTGCTTATTCTCGATCAGCCACTCTAGTTGCTCCTTCATCAATTGATTCGAGGGCAGGAACATGTGTCTAAAAGGAATTGCAACTTTTATCGAACCATTTACCGAAGGTGCTCCACCAATTCAGTGTGCAGTTGGGAGGCAGTCAGCTTCTTGCGCGTCTTCATCACCTAAGAAACGGGGGTTGGGTGTTCGGTAAAGCGGGCGAACCTTGACGATTGCTTCTTGAACACGAAGGGCACGCAGTGAAACAATCTCCTCGTGCTCAGAAGAAGCCGAGGCGTCAAGTCCCAGCTGTAGGCGACCGATCAAGTTGACACGTCGGCCTCGGAGCGGTTTCCCATTCTAGAAACAGAATATTTTAACAACACACTTCACAATGATAATCACCTTTTCAGGGATGTATTGAGTGTTCAAGTGGAAGATCGTTGATTCACAGAACGGGTTTGAGCCGGATGCGGATGATTGACAGGTCAGAAGTTGAGAATCGCCTGATGCGGGCATTGGACAAAGCGACTAAAACAGCGTAAAAATAAAAATAAATCGCACCAGCAAAGTGCGCGTCAGCTCTGAATCTGGTAGGTCGGTGGACAGACGAATTGCCTCGAACGATAATCCTTCCTCAGGGTTATCCAGCCAACAGAAAAGAACGGCCAGCTAAATCTGTTATTGGCATACATCGAAATATTACGTGGAAAGTTGTCAGCTGGATTTCATAGCGTCCCTTATCAGAATTGAATATGATCTAAATAGCAATTGATGCAAGTGGGAATAAACGAACCGTGCCATTGCCCCAATGGTGCATCCATTGCAGTTTCCTGCCCGAATGTTTTCCCTTGTAGAAATTTTCTGCCGTCACCAAGAAGTCTTCTAGCTGGCGCGGTATGGCGATCTTGACAGAATCCCCCTGGTTTCCACCTGGACGCCAAGATGCACAACCGAGGATCTTCATCGAGAAGGTATCTGCACAAACGATTTGTTGCTGATTGAGTAGAATACCGTTAGGTTGACCGTCGGCAGTCTCATTTGCAGGTGCACGCAAGGATTTTCTGTATTCTTGATTCAGATCAGTATTGAGTTGCACGTCGCCAAGCATCCGGCACAATTTGTTGACTTGATCGGATGGCATGCCGCTTTCCTGAAAAAAGTTATCAATGATACGAGAAAAACTATTTACCCGGAGTCGTACAACAACAGTCTCCTCTTTTTCTTGATCGGCGCTAATATCGGTGAGAAGACGGCGAGCGAGATGGGCCTTATGGTAACGCATGAAGACATCTTTGTTTTGCACATATTTGAGAATGAGCATCTACAACAAATATTATACGATTGGGATAAAAATGAACATACGACACTGTCAAGACGAGTATCAACTTCATTACTCGTTAGCCGCTTGCTCAATGGTGTCTTTCGCAGCAAAAGATCGCAATAGTTGGCCAATATTTCCGGGCACCTTGATTCCGGAGTGACTTTGCTAAAGCAATACTGTAAGCTGCACACAGAATACACGCACCCCTTGCGAGAATGTGGCAGCTCCAATTTGAAAATCGAAGGATCATTGACGACATCACAGAAAGCTTGATCCCTGGCAGTCAAGGCCCGAGCATCATCGTCGAAAGCAGACCTAAACCCGGGCTGTACGCAATCACTAAAGATCCAAACTTACTTAATCAATTGTGAAAAGGTACTGAACAGCAGATGAAGCCCGTTGATTAATTGCTCAGGGTCCTGAAGTTAACTTGTAGACAACTATAAAATACTACCGTCGAGGTGGTGACAACGTGTCGCGCCATAACCTCCTTCCCAAGTAGCCGAACACGGTCAGCAACGAGCTTGAGAACTGCGTTGAAACCGGTGGCAGTCCGATTGACGAGGTGATACAACCTCCGAAGACCTGCAAAAACATGATGAGCAAAATGGGTTCTTGCCTTCGATGTCCTCGGCCTTCACCATTTTTTCGCACTCAACAAGGAGCTGTTCTTCGAAGTGAGTGACCAGTACGGTGACGCATGCCGCGCTCGCCTAAGCAGCATAACACAATCCGAATCAGGACAAAATATACTCTTTCTTTGCTGGCGAGATCAAGGTAACGATCAGCGCGTGCCCTTTCTTCTTGCAATTTCTCTTCCGCATAGTATATGTAGGAGCTGGCGCCGTGATGCTCGATAAACTGAGGTACTGATTGGAGAAAAATAAGCGCGAATACCTGGCCAGCTGCATCTCGGTACCAATATAGCATACGCTGAATGTAACTTTTTTCATACTGATCGCGGTAATGCTCTGGAGTGGTCAGCACAACTAAAAACAATCAACGTAGGCGGATAATATTGTTTACCAAAACTGTCGCGGACCCCGAGAATCAACTCCGAGGCCACCGAGGCATTTCCTCGCTCAGAATCGATCAGCTTCAGGGCCCGATTGAGCAATCGTCGTTCAATCGGTTCAAAGACGTATTTCAGCCAGATCTCGAGCATAGCGTCTTTTTCGTGAGACTCATGTGGTGGCAAGATCAGCCGATTGTCCCTAAAACTGTCCGTCAAATAACAAGACAAAATTTACTTCAACACATTGTCCCGCGCCTCTTTTTCCAGACACTAAATGACTGTCTACAAAGTTTCGAAAACGGTTACCTTGAATGGCATTGGAATAACGCTGCATTGATACAGATAATGATTCCATTCGCGGATGTACAATTTCAGGAGCTCTTCATCGTTGGTGCTGGCGTTCACCCACTGGAAAAGATTACAAAGGTAGGGTAAGGAAAACCTGAGCACATTCTTTGACGTAGACCTCAACGTCTTCCAGAAGCGCATTGCGTATCTACAAAAATTATATGTAGATAGGCTGAAAGACCGGAAAAACCTTAGGAGCAACATCATCAATCCACGAAAAAAGGTAGAAGATTGCGTGGAAGGTGTGTTGCCAGTCGGCTTTGGTGACGCTCTAAAAATGATACCAATGAGCAACAACAAGTCTACCCGGCGATAAAGCAAATTCTGCACCACCTCACGCACGTCAGGCCATTTCTCATCAAAGGTGTTGTCAGTCTAAAGTCTATAATTATAAAATGAAAACTCAAAATACCACAAGATAACCCATGTTGTCAACGGTGTCGGAGCTCTGCGAAGCGGTCACGTCTTCCCAGCGATGATATCTGCTCGGTCCGGCACCGTGTTGATGAAGATGTCTTCCGAAGAACCCTTGTTCCGGGCGGCGCGACCGTATCAGCTGCTTTGAGCGGTCGAGGATCTTGTAAGGATTTGGGAACCAGTCGTCCAGGAATCCTTGCCGACCCCCGCCTTTTTTTGTGCGCGTCAGTTTGGCGAGCTAAAAAGGTGGAATAGAACTGAAAAGTTGAAAACGCAACGCATAGCCAGAATGAAGGTACAGTTCAGATAGGCGGGGAAAGTCAGCGGACCTAACCGATCAATTTACATTATTTTGAGCTGAAATTAAAACTCTGAGCCTAGTTTTTCAAGCTTTTTTGGATGGCGTTCAAGAAATTTTGTACAAAGATCGAAAATGTCGAAAACTGTTTTGCACTCGATGTCATAAATCTACGTAACGCGTAAAATAAAACAGGAAACCTCCTTTTCTGCCATAACTACTTTATATTACGTTATTTTAAACAGCCATTAATAATTATACTTTGCGATGCTCTACCAATTGGCGTGGCAAAAACCCCGGATGACGGAAAGAACAACAAGGGATTTTGGTTTGCTTCCCGCGCCTAACTGAGCAGTACCAGAATGAAAAACGAACCTTTAGCGAAACGTCTGTTTCGCAAAAGAGATGACCAAAGTGGAAATCGAGACGTTAGAGGGGAATAATCGAGGCAGGCGAATTAAATTGAACGCGACGCGACTAAGGACGCAATCGATTGTGAGGATTGTGATTCGTTTCCGCTGATAAAAACCGTTTTTCTTCTATTTTTCTCAAATGTGCACTTACCGCCAAAAGACGCAAAAAAGGTCAAATGTAGGCTTGACACTGCGATTTTGAGTTGATTGACTCCTTGACACGTTTCTATAGCGAAAAAAGTTGTGTTTTTGGTCAAAATCCGACGATTTTACCAAGTAAACAGCATTTTCCAGCGCGCGCGTTTCCGTACTTTGCGGGTCCGGCGTGCAAATTCGGGTGACTTCTGATGTACAACGTGCGTCATCCGTCGCCTTGTTAACTTTATTTCTGACGGTTGCATGGCTTCATTTATCGGCTTAATTCGTCTGATTGACCTTCAGCCCCAGATCGACGGCCGCTGCAATGGTGCAGTCCGGGCACTTGTCTATATACTTGTTCTATTTGGCCGGGGGAAAAATTTAGACGACTTTTGCCATAACTTTTGATTTTACAGCATTCCGGTATGGAATCAAACGCATTAGTCCATTTTTTGACGCTCTAACGAATTCACTGGCTCACTATCTCACTCTCTTTGTCGTTTTCTCTCACTTTCTCTGGCCCTCTCTCACTCTCCCTCTCTCTCTATTCCAAGTTGTGTAAATGTAACCCGTGCGTTTTAAATGTGTCCAATAAATACAAAGTTTATTATGGCCATTGGGGGCACGGGTGGTGGCGGGGATCGAATCGATGCGTAGACTGAGAAATTGGGGGAAAAGGACTGGGCCAGGGGTACGGTCGAAGGGGCAACATTGAGAAAAACGGGGGGAAAATAAGCTCGAGCAGGCAAAACGGGGGGTGAATTGGTCGCGATGCAAGAAAGAAAAGCCAATTTTCCATTCCCATTTTAGAGACGTAGATCCAGAACAGGTTATTGCTTGCAAATACTCAAAATAGTATCAGAAAATCAAGACTTGAGGGGAGAACTGCAGAAAATCGATGGGGGTAAATCATCATAAAATCGAAAAACCGGCATAAAGCGGAAATTTGGGAGGGCTGGGAGGGTGTAATAAAAGGCAAAAGCTCCTAGAAATTGAACCGAATGGCCGATGACTAAATGCATTAATGGTAGGCGAAAATGGGAATACAAATAAAAGTAGAACAGACGAATAGACTCCTACACGCGCTCAGCGGATTTGTTCTGAATCTCGTGTTGGTGGTAATAGTTTGTAGTTTTTGCACATAATTTTGGGGGTGGACTGATGATCAGAAGGAATGGGGGAGCGACAGGAGACTTCAGGAAAATTCGAGACGCGAAGCTCATTATTTTAAATTTAAAGTTTTAAAGGGGCGAGCAAGGAATGAATACGGATTTCTTGCCTTAGATTTTCCGCGGCGCGACACGCAACGGGCACGTCGTTCAGATACGTACGCGTGTCGCGGTGCGGCTTAGGTTACACGCGCAGCGTTTTCTTTGTAATAGCTGACGCGTTTCGTGTCGCAGTGCCAACAATCAATAGCCAAAAATCCGTACGTTTGCCTTGCGAATCCCTTCAGCGCCAAGAAGCATGCCAAAATTCCAGAAAGCAATCTGAGATGCCACTTTTTAGAAGCCCACTACGAGAGGCCCCTCTGTACGTTGTTTTTCTGTGCGCGCGTTGAATTCCTCGTTTAGTTCAGTAATTTCGAGCATGCTTCTGCGCCTTTAAAAAATCAATAATTGGCTATTCGGTGGTAACGGGGGCATTGGCGAAAAGTACGCCATGATACGTCGTCCCGTCCAGCTCGATTGACACCACCATCGATTTCTTGTCGCCTTCTGAAGATGCTCAAATGGTCTGTGCTAGATTGCCTCCAAAGTTACCGGTAGAATTGTTGATTTTAATGTTGGTTGCTGGGAGGGGTTGTGGGGTTGAGGCGGTTACGGTAGCCGATGGGGCACCTTCGTCTGGATGGGAGATTCGGGCTTTTTTGGCTGAAAATTTCGGGGTTTTTTGGGCGTTTTAAAGATATCTTTTGACGCATTAAAAGATTTGGAGTTTTTTGTTTGTTAATAAAATGTTATACTTTAATAGGTTACGTTTTTTTGTAGTTGTTGATTGTTAGTAAGTAACAACAAATATTTAAACCATTTTTGAAAATTCGAAATTTTTACCTTTTTTGTTATTTTTCTCGGCTTTTTGACCAAAAAGTTCTATTTGTAAATTTTTATGAGCTTTTATATCTAAGAATTCGGCAAAATGCTATGAGAATCCCCGAGCTAAAAATGACATGCCTTGATGTTCACTATCAACAGAAGAGGTGCTCTCCCTTCCCGATGGCCTTCCATTATTTCCCAATGGATTCCCCTGGAGCCCCAGGGCACCGAGCCCTAGGTTTTGACGTGCCATCGCCTCGGCTGCCGCTCGAAATTCACTAAAAACGACATGTATATAGTATCGTAATGTATCATCCTGTATTCTGTAGTCTATGTCTAGCTTCCCACTTTTGCAATTGCCGTTGTTGTGCCTCAATAATGAGCTGTTGCTCAGCCCTGTACGCGGCCATGAATGGATTCTGGGGAGCAAGACCCGAGTCGTCATCCAAGAAATCTGAAGGGGAGATCGTGGGATGAGATTGAAAAAGGGGCGTGGCTTACCTAGGGGATGCTTGCCGAGGAGGGAGGCTGGACCTCCGGATGGACCGAGAGGATAGAGAGGATGACCGAAGGATGGAGCACCAGTGTTACGACGACCCTCACTGAATACCCTGGGATGTATTGTATGAGGGATTGGGAGGAGGAGGAGGGAGAGAAAGAGAGAGAGAGAGAGAGAGAGAGAGAGAGAGAAGAGAGAGAGAAAGATAGTGGGGGAGAGAAAGTGAGAGAGACAGACAGAGAGAGAGAGAGAGAGAGAGAGAGAGAGAGAGAGGGAGAGAGAGAGAAGAGGGAGTGAGAGTGAGTGAGACAGAAAGAGAGAGGATAGAGAAGAGTTGAGAGAGAGGGAGAAAGAGAGAGAGTGATAGAGAGAGAGAGAGAGAGAGAGAGAATGAACTCCCCAAAAACAAACGTACCGTCTATTCCCATCAATAGCTGCTTGTAAATCAGCGGGATTCGACAGTCCCTCCTTCTCACATTCATAATCATACAAATACTTCTGGTACCTAAACCCTTTCTACCGTATCCCGTACAGTAACGTACTGTGTACGTAGTGTGAATGCAGCAGAAGTGATAGATGATGGCAGATTAAGCCCCTTTGTGATTTCTCTCCACAATTTCTTGTTGATAATCTCGACAAGTCCTCCATGTTGGACGACGAGTCGATAGAGTTCATAGAGGTCGAGCACTTGTTTTGCCATTATTGGGATGCGAGTGACGGGTTTTCCTGAAAAAAAGTTGTTAAGACGTGTTAAATCCCTAAAGCATCGCTGCTAGCTCGCCGCCCTGACAATGTCCAAACTCAAAGATAAATAAAGTTAGAGAGAGAGAGAGTGAGAGAGAGAGAGTTTTTCTCTAATCCCTGCTAGCAGGCCTGCCTCGTTCCTCGAGGCGTCCTAAAGATTATCTGTCAGTTTGCCGATCCTGAAGAATCTCTGCTACCCTGCCCAGCCCAAGGATTCCTTAAGATTCTCTGCTAGTTTGCCATAAGCCTGAGAATTCCAAACCTTCAACAATTTTGATATTGGCCCCCACTTCTGCTGTGGTTTGTATGTGTTGATGGGTTGTCGATGGGAATTGGAGTCGAGTGGGGGTTAGTGGGCGAGAGAGAGACACAGAGAGAGAGGGAGAGAGATGGGTATAAGCACTGTATGCGTGCGTCGTATTCTGTTTGCCCATCGTCGTGTTCGCGCCCCGCGAAGTCGGATATTTGATAGAAGCTGATGGAGAAGGAAGGGTCGTACACAAACATCCTCTATACACCGTCGAGGCGAGAGAGCGAGAGAGAAAGGGAGAGAAAGAGCGAGTGATAGAGAGGGAGTAAGAGATGTGACGATCTTTAAGAACTTCAGGAAGCCCAAAACCATTCAATTTTCAAAAAGCAAAAAGTTCTATGCTATCAGGAATCGAACCATCGGCCTCTAGATTATGCGGAAAACGCTCTAACCACTAGGCCATAGACGAAAAGTATAAAAATGTGTTTAAAGGTACCAAATTTGTTTAAGGTAACCAATAAATTCTCCCGTACCCACCGATTCGATGCATAAAAGACAGCCAATCATCCAGCCACTCCTTGCGCTTCTGATCGCTCGACAATTCGTATAGCTAAAAAATAGATGGCTTAAAGGACCCCAGAAGCCACACCCAAGTTCCCAAATAATCCCTGCTATCCTGCTCCCAATCCTGACCTGTTTAAATTGTTCCTCGTAGCTCCAATTGGGTTGTCCAGCCCCGGTTGGGGTCACGTCATGCCCATCATCTTCCTTTTTCTCCTTTTTATACCTAGAAATCCGGATTAAAGGGCCGTTGAAGGCAAAGTGTTTCGCAGTCGACAGTCTTACCCAAGGGTTAGATCCTCGGGTTCTCCTCCACCCATATTCTCTCCCTCATCGTCATCCTCTGGCGTTGTTCCACTGACTGAGGCCAGGCTGAGAAGCTGGAAAATTAGGGTTTAGGTTTAAAGCGAAACTTATGCCTAATCCTAGGCCTAATCCTAAGCCAATCTTTATCTTTTTCCACGAACCTGCTGCTGTAGATGGAGCGGATTTTGTTGTAGAACGGAAAGGAACGGGATTTGGTTGCCGAGGGCGAACGGGTTCCGGAAGTTGCCTAAATACAATTTTTTTTATTAACTAAACTAAATACATTTTTTTTTATTAACTATTTTTCGTAGATTAACGCTTCCGAGTCCCTTTAGTCCCAAAAGTTGGCCCCCGCACTCATTTTGGGCCCAGAATCTATTGGATTTCACAGGCGAGGGCCCCCTGCCTTGGGACATTGAATATTCAGCTGGAGGGCCCATTGAAAGGGCCATCTCCTTACTGGGGTCTCTCTCTGTCTCTCTCACCCTCTCTCTCTCTCTCTCTCTCTCTCTCTTTCTCTCTCGGCCTCCGAATGAAATTGGATACGGTAGCGTGGTGATGGGGTGGGGGTTACGGTGGGATTGGGGGATGAAATGAGGGGGCGGATGTGTTTAGGAATGTCTGGCAGCCTGTGCTTTTCCTAAAGAATCTTGGCTATCTTGCCTTTCCTAGTTATTTTTTGCTAGCCTGCCCATTCCCAATTAACCCCTGTTAGCCTCTGCTTTTCCTAAAAAATTGCTGCTAGCATGCCTTTTCCTAAGAAATCTCTGCTAACCGTTGCTTTTCCTAAATAACTCCTGCTAGCCTACCCTCTCCTAAATAATCTCTGCTAGCCTGTCTTCCCCTTGCTAGCCTTTACTTTCCCCAAGAATCCCTGCTAGCCTGCCCCTTCTCCTCACCAATCAATCGTTGCAACGCTTTCTGCTGTGCTTCAATGTCAAAATTGTTGATAGAAGTGTCGGGGCTCGGGGACCGTTCCGGTTGCTGAAATATGATAATTAAGCGTTTAACGGGGTGGGGTTGGAAGAGCCGCTTCGCGCTTTCTCTCTGCTGGTGGGCTTTGGGGCGCGGGCCTTTGCATACATTAATTTTACCAATACATGAATTAAATTAGGATAGGAGACCACAGGAATTACTTGAGCAACCGACGACACCCCGACGAACCCAAGAATGAGCCGAAAAAATCCTGGAAGAAAATTGATCTATTTCCATATGTTTTAAAAACGTTAAAATAAGGTATTAAAGGGTATTTTTAAAATTTGATAAGCGTGCAGTAATCTACCCCCATACCCTACCCTCTACTACCCTTACTTTCGGACCATAAAATCCCCTTTCCCTTCGGGTTATGACTGGGCCGGGGTTTTTATGAAAAGTGTCCACACACACACAGAAACTATTTTTTTATATATAGTAGGATATACGATTTAAAAGGAATATATAATTAATTTATACCTGATTATTATTGCCCTGTTGTTGTTGTGTATTTCCCCTTGTCGATTCCTCTTCATCTTCATCATTTTGCAGTGCATCGGCTGCTCTTTGTGAGAGCTGGGCCAGTAATTCGTGGGGGGAAGACGACTCCAGTGTCACTGAGGACATAAAAACCTGAAAAAACCCATGAGATTACGGTATAAAGGGCATAAAATGGGTAAAAAAGATATTACGGTATGAAGGGCAGAAAATTGAAGCAATCAAATCGCGGAAAAGTACGGTATGTTAAAGGGATGCCGACGGCATAATCAATCGATTATGCGCGGAAAAGAAAATGTCTCTGCGCCTCTCCCCTGGGCGCGCTCTCGCCTCTGTTGGCTGCAAGTGGCTAAAAATGATAGTCATGCCACGATATAGGAGCAAGAGTCAGAAAAATTAAAAATGAGCAGTGGCCTAGCAGAGATCATTGGGGAAAAGAAAAATAAATTAAGAGCTAAGTTACTGTAGGAAGGGCACGCTTTAGGAAAAGGTGAGAAAGCGTGGAAAAAGGTGATCCAGACCTAGTCTTGGGCTTAGCCTGAGCTTGAGCTTGGGCTTAGGTTTAGGCATAGGCCTGAGCTGACGCATAAACTTAGGCTTATTCAAGCACCTAGCTACGGTAGATAAAAGCATAGCATGGACAACGTCATACTTTCAAAAATCAAGACAAGCTAGCAGAGATCATTGGGGAGCGCCCACCCCGTTTAATAGATATATGGCTGTTGGGTAGTAATCGGAGAAGGGGGGAGAAGAGAAGCTGGTGCTCAGGCATATGTGCTCAATTACGAGGAGAAATATGGAATGGAATGGAATGGGGGGATGGAGGTGCCGGGTGGAATGATGGGGGGAGAACCAGGGGGAACGCTAAAAAGTGACCAATGAGAGAATTAGATCCTAAATAATCGCTGCTAGCGGCCGGGCGATTCCTCAAGCTTCCTCTGCTAGCTTGCTTGAATTTGCTAAAGAATCTTTGCAATCTGTCTGTGCCTCGATTTTTCTCAAGGAAATTTGCAAGCCTGCCAATTTTCCCAAAGAATCGCTGCTAGCCTGCCCCGCATGGTTAGCGCAGTAGGTAGCGTGCCGGTCTCTTAAGTTTTAGCCCAGGGTTCAAATCCCAGCCACCGCAAATTTTTGCTGTTTCGAGGCTAGCTAGGGGCAAGCTAGCAAAGACAATTGAGGACAACCAAAAAGCTCGAAATCGTGCAATAATTTTCAGGCTAATCGAAAGAGGGGGGGGCAGTTTTTCCCGGAGAGCCATAGATTTGATATTGGGCCCCAAGGAAGAAAGATGGGCCACAACTCTGGGGAAGAGAGAGAGAGGGGGAGAGAGAGAGAGAGGGAAGGAGAGAGACAGAGAGGGAAGGAGAGAGACAGAGAGAGACAGAGACGAATCACCTGACAAGACCCCCCAATCCTCTACACTGAGTTGGTTGTGGTTGAATGATGGACGGGGGATCGGGCTTGATCCATTTATCAGCATCATTTTCTTGGCTCTATACTATATCGTGTTTGGGGCAGGCTAGCGGAGATATTTTAGGAAGGTTTTAAGATATTTAGCCACTTCCGATATCGGGCAATCTAGCAGAGATCAAGCAGATTTAACTAGCGAACATTATTTAGGAGACCGGTAAGGACAGCTAGCAGGGTTTCTTTGTGGAAAATACCTTAATCCGCTGATTTCAGACCTAGTAGGCTAGCAGGGATCATTGGGGAACTCAAACCCAGCTCGATTAGGGGTAGCTAGCAAAGACCATTTAGGAAAGAGCAAGCCGGAAGAGGCCTTTGGAGAAATCCAATTCAACCCGCACAACTAGCAAAGATTTCTTTGGATCTCTGGTCAAACATTGTCAACTTGGTTAGCTAGCAGAGATTCTTTGGGAAAAGTTCTTTTTCGGATTATTTCCGAGGGGGCAGGCCAGCAGGCATCATTGAAGAAATAAAAAAGGCCTGGACAAGCTAGCAAAGTTTTTTTAGGGAGCGCATCCAGCTCAAAAATTAAAGCATGGCAAGCTAGCTTAGATTATGTAGGAAACGAAGTTCTTTGAGCGGCGAAAATGAGAAAATTCGATACGGTAACTAGCTGAGTTCCTTTAGGGTTAGGTACCTTTTTTAAAGGGACAGACAAGTCAGAAGCGCCAGTGGCTTCCCAGTCCCTTTAAAATGGATAGCTGTAAATTGGAATCGGGCGGAACGATGATGGGCCCCGTCCTACTGGCAGCCGTAGGTCATTAGCCCGGCCTCTCTCTTTCTCTTTCACTTATTATGAGGCCCTAAGGAATGGCAAAAAGGGAAAATGGGATCGTATCGACCTGGTCGGAAGAATCGAATGAAAAGATGATGAAGCATTTAGGGAGAGAGAGAGAGAGAGAGAGAGAGAGAGAGAGAGAGAGAGAGAGATGGACAGTTGGTCCGACCGACCGACGAACCACCGGAGGCGAATGGAATCGAATTTCATCGAGGGACACCACGGGGCCTTAACTGAAGATCCGGGCGGATACTGCAACAGGACAGCCTAGCAGAGACCATTTAGGAGATTACGGAGCAAGGCAGCAAGCTCCAGCGGTTCTTTAGGAATGCAATTTCGTGGGCACGCTAGCGAAGACTCTTTGAGAAACCCGGCGAAGCTGGGGTTTCTGAAAGTAGAGGCAGTCGTGAGTGAAAGTAGAGTTTTTCGGGAATCGTAGCCTGGAAAACTTCGTTAGGCGAGCTGGCAGAGATCTTTTGGGAAATTCAAAGAAGCGACAGGATAGCAAAGATTCTTGAGGAATTCATCTGAGCTAGGCAAGATAACTGAGGTTATTTGGGAAATTCTCTAACCTAGGCAAGCTAGCAAAGATCTTTTAGTGATCAAAAGGATCAAAAGGAATGCCAGCAGAGAACATTGAGGAAGTTCGGGAAGAGGCTGGCTAGCAGAGATTTTTTGGGAATTTGAACGCAGAAGCAGGCTAGCAGAGATGCTTGAAAACGCAAGGCATGGCAGGTTAGCAGAGATGCGTAAAGAAATTCAGGAAAAAAGCTGCTGGCTAACCCATCGCCAGCTAGCAGGGGCCATTTAGGAATTCGTGAGGGAGGCTCTAAATTCTAATTGGGCGCATCCACCCGAAATACGCCATGTGCCCTGGGGGGCATAAATCGGCTCCGCGGCGCTTCTCTACTGGGTCTCAATTAGAGAAATGTGGCATTTGAGGGGGAGAATAGGATAAATGAGAGATAGAAGAAGTCTGTGGCGGGTAGTGTCCACATCAATCTTCTCACTTCTAGCCAACCAATGAACAGGTGCACTTTCAGGGGGGGAGGGGAGGGACACACACCGCTAAACCGCAACCAAAAGAGTGTCACCAATAATTGAGAGGGCAGAAATTCTTTGGGAGGGGAGGGCTGGCAGAGATTTTTTAGGAAATGATGGGAGCAGCTAGCAGGGATTCTCGTGGAATGGCGAGGCTAGCAGAGATCCTTCAGGAATTATTGGCAGGTTTTAGAAGATTCTTGAGTGAGCTCCAGGCCGGCTAGCAGAGATCCTTGTGGAATCCGCGCAAACAGAGATTATTTAGGAATCTTGAGCCAGATTGCGAGCAGGGACCCTTGAGGAATTTGTTGGCAAGCTAGAAAGACTCTTCGGACGACAGAGTAAACCTTGGGATTTAAGAATCCCGACAACCAAAATACCGACAGATAAAACCCCGACAGGCCGTAATCCCGTCCTAACTTTGAAGATAATTTGAATTCCACTTCCTTTTCAACCGCTATTTTGCTCGTAAAGATTATGGACTTTCGGTAATTTAGCTGTTAGTGGCTGGCAGCTGGGAGCAGAGATTCCTGAGGAAACATTAGGCAGGCTAGCAGAAAACCTTGCGGAATTGGATGAGCGGATAAATCAGGATCGGGCAGGCTAGCAGAGATTATTTGAGAAGGTGGGGGAAAGCTAGCAAATATTCTTTAGGAGCTCTCGGGCAGGCTTGCAGAATTTTTTCGGATTCGAGAGCTAGAAGCCTAGCAGAGATTCTTTGAGGAATCTGAGGGCATTCTAGCAGAGATTCTTTGGGAATTCTCTGGCGGGCTAGCAAAGAGTGCTGGCCCAACTAGCAAAAATTCCTTGATCGTCCCCTGAATAATTTACTCTACCCCCTGTAAATGCCCTAAAGTCCCATTTTCCCTGCTCAATCCCCATCCATACCTCCTGCAAGCAACAAGGTGAATCCGATATGCCCTTCTTCTCCTTCGATCCCGTCAGTCTCCCCCCCCCCCCTCATATTGCTGTAAAGCCCCCTCCCTCCATCATTTCATTGGCCCCTTTTCAGTGGAAAAAAGAGAGGAGGGAAGGGGAAAGAGTAGTGTTGCGGAATAGATCGTTTAAAGGGACAGCGAATCAAAAGAGGGCAGGCAGGGAGCCGAGTAATTGGATACCATAGCCGGAGAGAGAGAGAGAGAGAGAGAGAGAGAGAGAGAGCGAGAGAGATGATTTGATCCCGGGAGGCTGCTGAAACGATAGGCTGTAACAGAAGCGGGGATACAGATACACCGATTTCATGGTTCACACACTAAGGAGAGGCATAGAATAGAGTTTAGCGGGGTTTTTACATGGAAATAGTCTTAGAAAATTTCCTAAAAGATTTCTGCAAGCGTGTTTTGAGGTTCCTGAAGAATCTCCGCTAGCTAGCCTGTCAAAAAATTCTCTAACAATCTCTGCTAGCCTTTTCCTAAAAATTCTCTGCTATCACCCCCTATAAATGCCTCACTTCCCAGCCCCTTTAAACCCTTTCCCCGCCCTGTTTTTTTTTTGATGGTTTGCCTGGATTGCATTAGGGGAGAATATTTGATGGGCGAAAGGAAGGAGTCAATGGATAACAGCCGCCCCTATGTCTCTCTCTCTCTCTCTCTCTCTCTCTCTCTCTCTCTCTCTCTTATGAATCAATGGTTGATAACCCATCATAACCCCTCTTTTCATGACAGGAAAGAGGAGTCACTCGGAAAATGGGTCCCCTCTCAAAGGGCCCATCTCCCCCCTGGGGCCCATCCAAATGATATCTGGCTGACGATTACACCAAAGCCAATCCGGGGGATCGGGTTTTCAATGTCTGACTGACTCTATGGATCCATTTTAAAGGAGCTTGGAAGGCAAAGTTAGGCAC